GAAGTGCCTGCAGTTACTGAATAATAAGCCTTAGTATGTAATAAGCCTGGGATCTTAAAGGGTTAATCATTAAGGTGAAACATAAATTAGCTTTTCTTATTCATATTGAATATTCGAATGTTTGGTAACATACGCGATAGTTGCAGCCCTGCCAAATTTGTGTTGTGCATTTGTGCCAACCAGCCTCAATATGGGGTACAGTTTATTAATGCAGATCAGCAACTCCTCAGTGCTGCTTCACCGAGAATGTTTATATTTCTGTTGATTATTTTTAGTCAAATTTAGTCGAGTAATCCTGGCGGCTCTTTACTGCGTCAGATGAAGGTGTTCTAGTGACACAGGAACAGCTCTGTGTGTGGTAGATGTACTAATGGGGGATTAATCAGTCTGGTCATTCCTCTAAATCTTAAAATCTTGTTGGGACTCCCGTCTTAACCACACAAGTGTGTGTGTGTGTGTGTGTGTGTGTGTTTCATTAGTAAAGCATGCCAGCAGACATCAATTAAATAAGGCCTAAGCGTAAGTCAATTTGCAGTTGGTCTTTTTCTTTCCACTCTCTCTGTCTCTGTGTTCTGCTGTCCTTCCCTCCCTCCATCTGTCTTTCAGAGAACATCCCTGAGTGCTGTTTAGGCTTCAGCTGGTATTTATAGAGCTTTATGCTCCATAGCTGGTGATGGCTTTGTTCCTGCATCTATGTTCAGTCTGTTACAGGTAATGCTGACATATCAGATTTTCAGGAATAGCTCTTATATCATTTATTACACTGTGATAGGGCTCTTATGTCTTGCAGGTATTTACAGGTTGATAGATTCTTGTAGGTAGGTAGGTGTTACTAAATCGCATTACAGCTGTAATAAACAACTTTTTTCCGTATTATTTGCTTAATCATTGTATGTATCCCCTACAAAGTGATTTTATTGTTATTTATTTAGTTACTTGCTCATGTGCACTGTTAGAAATAAAGGTACCGTGCAGGTAGGTTTTCCGTTCATCAAGGTACAAACAGTGTAAATGTTCCCTCAAAGGTACAACAGTGGTTTTAAGGTCCGATTGTGTTCCTTTAGTAAGTTTTTCCCAGGTGAAAAGTACGTATTTGTACCTTTTCATAACCAAATGTTTTAAAACAGAACAATAAAATAAAAGCCTGGAGACGAGACGGGGTGTGTGGATTCAGTACAACTTAGAAAATATAATTTCGATGGATTAAGGAACAGTTATGTTCCCTGACTAAAGGTAATGAGATGTACCCTTGAGGGGACCACCCCACTGACAAGAGGGGTGCTGAGGGGTACTGCCCCAGTGATAGTTTTGTACCTTTTTTTCTGAAAGTGTACAGGGAAAAAACTTAAATCTAGCATTTTTCTGCTAATTTTAGTGCACAATTTATATTTATTTATTGAATTTAACACATAAGAAAATTAAACAAGAAATATAATATAGACTAATATAGACACAATATAGACACTTCTTTTGCATGGGCCTTGTTTTATGTTTTTCTAAACACAATTGTGTACTAAATTGTGTATATGTCAAAGTATTTTCACCATAATATATTTTTTTTAATTTGACAGGCTTTTGCACACGCTCAGCCTCATACTGCTATTATTAGAACCGCTTAATAGACGTAAATGTAGTCTAAGAAATCCAAAACACTTACTAAAAGTATCTGTAACAAAACCTCATATGCATTTTTCAAAAGGGTTTAGAGTGAATTTGCTTCAATTAAAGGATATTCATTTTTTTCTTGTAGCCTTCAGTGCGAGATTGAGCTAATTAACCATAAAGACATTTTTCATGACCTTTTTATCCATCTTTACTGAGGGTGCCATTAATTATGGAGCTGACTGTATATTACATTTTTATATTTCAAAGTGTAGCCACAGTATATGGTTGGGCGTTTAATAGACAGCTGCCTCTCTCTGGCAGAGGGAGATAGGGTCCTGATCTCTCTTTACCCTCCATGAGGAGCCTTTGTTCAAGCTGAGATGAAATGGAACGGGGGGTGTGGCTTAGACAGGGGAACTGAATCTGATAAATATTCATGAATCAAGGCTTCAGAAGCCCCTGTTATGTCTGTCTGGTGAATAGTATCGCAATCCCCAGAGAACACACGCCACACATGTGCAACAGCGCTTGTTTGCCCCACCGTTTGTTGTGCACCGTGCAGTGTTGTGAGTTAATGCATGATTATCATTGTGCCTGGTTGTGTATTGTAGTGTGTGTATATGTGTACACAAAAACTGTCAATAGTTAATCCTCTTATCAGTATTAAAACGCATTGTTATTTGCACAGGCCATGCATGCGTAACCCTGAAATCTGTCCCTGGGGGGGATGATAGCTAGTCCTCATCAGTTTCCCTCGCAGAATCAGCATCTTTTGTTGCTGATTACATTATAGAGCGAAGGGCTAGATGACCTAAACCCCTCTTAGTGCTACATCATAGGATCTTTGTTGTGCAAGTTAGGGTTATGACGATACCACAGTTTTGACTTTCTTACCAATACCAGGCTTATTATCACAATGCTCGATGAGCAATACTACAAAAATAAAATCATGATACTGTAGGGCAGGGAGCTCAATCATGGTCCTGGAGATCTACCACCCTGGAGAGGTTAGATCTATCCCACACATCTGACTCTAATATTCAGATGCTCCTGAAGACCTTCATTACCTGGATCAGAGGTGCTAGATTAGGGTTGGAGCTAAACTCAGCAGGGTGGTAGATCTCCAGGACCAGGATTGGGCACCGCTGCTGTAAAGCATTTTCATGATATACATGATATTCATGATATATTTTATAGCTTCATTTATAAAATGCTGTGAATTCAGTGATTATTTTTGCAAACGTTAAATTAAAAAATTATTTATTTGAGAAGGCACCAGATGAAAAAAAAAAAATCAAACATTTGGTAAAAAAAAAAGGTAAATTAAACCAGAAGGGAAAACTTTAAGTTGACATAACAAAGCTCTTGCTTTGAAATCTCAGGTGGTTGCTAAGGTGTTACTATGTTACCTCAGGTGGTTGCTAAGGTGTTACTATGTTACCTCAGGTGGTTGCTAAGATGTTGCTATGCTATGCCAGATGGTTGCTAAGATCTTGCTAGGCCATTGCTGTAGAATCCGAGGTGATTGCTAAGTTGTTGCTAGGCTGTTGCTATTGTATCCCAGGTGGTTGCTTAGGTGTTGCTAGACTATCGCTATGTTATCCTAGGTGGTTGTTAAAATGTTGGTAGGTCCTTGCAGTATTGTCTCAAAAGGTTGTTCAGGTATTGCTATGCCTTTGCTGTGGTATCCCAAGTGGTTTATAGGGTGTTTCTAGGCCATTGCTATGGTACCCCAGATAGTTGCAAATTAATGTGTGTATATGTGGCAGCGGATAAACCAGTACTATGCAGTACATGCACCTACTATGTACTGATTGTTGTTTCTCTCTTCTGTAATTGGCCTAGATCTTTTTTATATAATATATGCAGTTGTTTAGAGTTCTAGAAATGTTCTAGATATACTTGGAAAATCGCATTGTGACGTAGTTTGTCTCTTCTGTCAACTTACCATCAAAGTGCCCATGCCTAATTTTCAATATCCAAAGTGTTGATTGTTTATTAATGCATTAAAGAAAACTAAGTAAAAAAGAGAACAATACTGAAACAGTAGTTTCAGTTTAATTAACGTCTGATTTTCAAATTCTGTCTTTTTCATCAAAACAGCATTCTATGAATAAATCAAATAACTACATCATTTAAACAAGCCTGCGTTCAACATAACCTATGATTCATTCTAATGTTAATTGTTTCTATTGTAAGTTCACTAATGTGATTAAACTTGTTACCTGTATGTTTTACATGCTAAAGGATGCTGATCTGAGTGAAATTCGTTTAAAATTTGTTTCACCTATAGGCTGAATGCGATGTCCTCATAGTGTTAGCCTATTTAGATAAAGAACTGAATGTACATAGTATTCCAGTGTTCTGCAAGTTGTAGCACAGAACAAGCATTGGATTTTCAATACATCGTGCCGCAATTGTAGGCCTGCTTAGTCTGCCAGCGTCGTGCCTTCTTGCACTCCCTCCACTTTAAATGGCAAGGCCATTCTCATTAATTTTTTATGCTTGTTCTGTGTCAAGGCTGTCGTCCTTTGAGAGGGTCTCAGCGAAAGAGAAAAGGAGTAGAAAAAGGAATAGCAAATAGCGACAATACCAGCAGCAGTGCGGTTTTAGATTTAAAGAACTACACGCAACCATAAGCTTTCTAAGCCATCAGTGCTGTCCAAAGAAAAACTTGCTGTTCGTTAGGTAGAGAATCTTATATGTCAGAGAGGCTTAAATATTTGTATGCACCTTTTCAACATCCTGACTAGGGCTGGATATTGTTAAAAAAACATATCAGCGCCAATACGGATACCTTGACTTAGATACCAATTTCTGAACAATACGTTTTCAAGGCCTTCTTTTAAATTACAAAAAGGAAAAGGGTGTGGCTTAAAGCAGAAATGGGTGTGAGATCCTGGAAGTGGGTACATTTACTGACTGCAGTGGATTGCAGACCAATCAAACAGCATGACCGTTAATAACGTGCATACAAAATGTAATTTAGACAGCCAATAAGCTGTCTGGATTTTGTTACAAGCATACCCGTTGACTCATGGATGCTAATATGACTGAGGTATTGAAATTTGGCACTGAATGACCCTTGTTGTTTTGCAATAGCTTAACATATTAATTAGAAAGCTGTGTAGATTTTGACATTTTCTTTGCAAAAAACTGCAAAATGGAAGGACGACTGACAAAAGTGACCCCAAAAAAATAGTAGTTCAGATTTGGGCATTGTAAAGTCTCATGTCATTATAAGTATGTCTCTAAAGGTAGTATATTCAAGCCAAGCTAAATCATAACTCAAGGTAAATGCTTACTCAAATCTTAAGTCCAGTTCTCTGAGATCTGTCAGCCTGGTCAAGACACAACAGCACATCCTAACCCAGCTTTTCTGTGTTTTTTAACAGTGGCACATACGCAGGACGCTCACCACCATTCGGACAAGCCTCTGATCCAGTGCTATAAGTGTGGGGAAGCATGCAAGGGCGAGGTGTTACGAGTGCAGAACAAGCACTTCCACATCAAGTGTTTCACATGCAAAGGTATGTACATTCAAATACAGGGCGAGTGCGTGTGGCACCTGGCTCACGTTTTTTGCAGCATACATAGGCCAAAAATCAAAGTAATAAATTGGCGAACTGCGTGTTTGGATCAAAAATCTGTCAGTTGACCAGTTCCATACCTAAAACACTATTGTCAAATGTATGTGGACACCCATCTTAAATATTGAGTACAGGTGTTTCAGCCACACCCACTGATAATAGGTATATAAAATCAAGCACATAGCCATAAAGTCTCCATAGACAAATATGGGTCGTACTGAAGAGCTCAGTGACTTCAAACGTGGCACTGCCATATGGCTCCACCTTTGCCTCAAGTCAGTTCTTGAAATTTCCCTCCTGCTAAATCTGCCCTGACCAACTGTAAGTGCTATTATTGTGAAATGGAAGCGTCGAGGAGCAACAACAGCTCAGCCACAAAGTGATAGACCATGCAAACTCACAGAGTGGGGCCACTGAGTGTTGAAGTGAGTAGTGTGTAAAAATAACCTATCCTTTGCTGCATCACTCAGTACAGGGTTCCACACTGCCACTGGAAGCAACAGCAGCTCAAGAAGTGTGCATGGGGAGCTTCATGAAATCAAATTGGTTTCTAAGGCCGAGCAGCTGCACACAAGCTTATTGCAATCACTATGCACAATGCCAAGCGTCGGCTGGAGTAGTGTAAAACACACCGACTCTGGACTCTGGAGCAATGGAGACATGTTCTGTAGAGTGATGAATCATGCTTTACTAACTGGCAGTCTGATGGCTACATCTGATTTTGGTGGATGCCGGAAGAACACATCCTAGTGGAATGCATAGTGCCAACAGTAAAGTTTGGCTGAGGAGGTATAATTGTCTGGGGCTAGTTTTCATTGTTTGAGCTCAGCCTCTTCGTTCCAGTGAAGGGTAATGTTAATTCTACAGCATAAAAAAGACATTTTAGACAATTAGATGCTTCCAACTTTGTGGCTACAATTTATAGAAGCCCCTATCCTGTCCCAGTATGACTGTGCCCCAGTGCAAAACATGAGCTCAACAAAGACATAGTTTGACGAGTTTGGTGCTGAAGAAATCCAGTGTCCAGCACAGAGCCCTGACCTTACTAAACAGCTTTAGGGTAAACTGGAACATTGATTGTGAGCCAGGCCTTCTCATCCAACATCAGTGACTGACCTCACAAATGCAAATTTGACTGAATGGGCACAAAATATCACAAACACACTGCAGTTTTTTGTGGAAAGCCTCCTCATAAGAGTGGTCCTATTTCTGTAATAGCTGTGGAGGGTGGGGGCGGGGGGAGGGGCAACTCTATGTTAATGCCAATATTTTCGGAATGGGATGTTCAACAAAGTCTTAAAGGTGTGATGGTCAGGTGTCCACATACATTTGCCCACATAGTGTTTTACACTATGTGAATGTTACAGTATACTAGTATAGACAATATATGGCCCAGCCATAATAGACACTTAACTCCTTCTCTATATGCAGCCCTGCAGTTTTATATTGATGGGAGTGTCTTCTCCATAAAGGTTTTCACATTCATCCACAGAGCTATGTTTTCCTCTGTTGAGGTCATTAAAGGTAATAGCTTATCTGGCTAGACAGTTTTAGGTTGTACCGCTCAGGATCAGGATCCCAAATAGGTCAAGCACTGTACACCCCTGTGTTCCTTCTGAGATTAAGCGCATTATGACCTTGTAGATTCAGTTAGGTTAGATGAGGCGACTGCATGTTGTGATTCGAGATAGAATGTTTATAAGAGATAAAGATCCTATGCTTGATGTCTCATAATGGAGCACAAGAGAAATTAGTTTATTAGCTCACTGTTTTCTCCAAAAAATGAGAATCCTGTTTCAAAACACTCATCTCACCTTGCTCTTTACAATCAGCTGAGATTACACAGGCAGTCATTTGATGAAACTGGACTCATCTGGCAGAACTCTGAATTTAATGCAGTCCCAGGTTAAGAAGTAAATCTTGTCATGCTAGCATGTCTGAACCCTTATTGAATGAACTTTCTGTCCACACTACCTTATTTGCTGAGAGAATATCGTTATATAAGACTGCATTAGTACACATTTGTGGAGAGAAGTTGTATGATGCAGTTTTCTGAGTCACAAAATGACTCATTTGTGCTGGTAAATGTTTGATTAAATGTTGATGCTAAGCTCTTAGTGACAGCATACCTGCTGTCATTTACAAGAAATGCATAATGAAGGATGATATTTCAGCAATACAAATTGCTTATTTACTGTTGTTCGTCAGCAAATTACAGAATTTGTTCAGTGGAAAGAAGTAAACACAACCTCTGCAGCATTTTTTTCTTAAAATAATTTTTTTATGCAAATGTTGATGCACCGTTGATAAGCCTAAAACATGTAGTTGTGGCATGTGCAGATGATTGAATTCCCTTCCAGTTGTGAAGTCTCAGAACTTAATTATCTCTTTAGGCCTTAATTGACTCATTAGGACTGGTCACACAGGTCAAGAATTGTCATTAGGAATTGTCATCAGCTGACAATTCCTGAGTGTAATAAATGACTGACTCTCTGACTCTTCAAACCTTGTACTAGCTAATTTCCATTGTCTGAAATGTCATTAGGAAATGGCAGTTAAGAGAATTCTGAAAATCAAGGCAAGATCTAGAAGGCCAAGGCAACTCTCAGATGGAACTACTCATATGTAGGCCAGAAAGGCAAAGCAAAACCCCCATATGAAAGCAAAGGACCTTCAGGAAGGTTTACTTGACACAAAAGTGGGGCTGCCCCATAATACTGTGCAACATTACTTGCACAAATAGGTTCTGCATAGAAGGGTCATCAGAAAGAACTTCTGCCTGAAACTGCAAAGTCAACAAATGAAGTATGCGAAACAACATCTAGTTAAGTCAGATGCATTTTGAAAAGAAGTGCCATGTACTGATAAAGTAAAAACTGAATCACACAATGCATATTTTGGGGAAACAAGGAGCAGCGTTTGTTGTAAAGAACAGACTGAAAAAGAACAAAAATCCATTCCTCAAAATCCAACATAAACTACTTTAAGAGATGCAAGCTGAAGTTTCTCATGGTCCCCTGACTTTATTGAAAATCTGTGAGTAGACCGTAAACATGCTGTGGATGCAAGACAGCCCAAGAATATTGCAGAACCAGAAGCGTTCTGTAAGGAAAAGTGGGTGAAATTCTTAAAAGAATAATGGAAATAATCCTAGCAGGCCACAAAAAGCATTAGCAAGCTGTGATATCTGCTGAACGGGGCTGTCACTAAGTACTGACTTGAGAGGATATCTGAACATTTGACCATGCCACAGTTACTATTTTATTTTAAGCTATCAAACATAATGCAGTTTTGCATTAACATTTGCAAAACAAATTAGCAATTTGAGGTTGTGTGTTTTTAATTTTACAATGTAAGTCATTTGGCCAGGGGTGACCAAACAGCTATATGTAATGCATCTTGCTGGGCTTCCTCACATTTAACTTCAGTTTCATACAAAACTGGGCATTTTGGTGCATCGATTGAGCTCAAAAGTACAAACTAACCTGTTATTGAATTTATGTGATTTATGTGACACATATTCTGCATGCCTTGATCTACAATACCCCCCAATATCTAACATGTGAAACCAAACTTAATGTATTCTTTTGTGTCTGAGGCTTTCAGAGATGAAAGCCAGTTTGTCTGGTGGGGGTGCGTACAAGAGAAATTCTACCAAAACTATTAGATATTCATGTATGCATCAGATCCTGGTAAAATGATTTTAATTTAAGTTAGAAGAGCCTGAATTCATAATTTTATAAAAGTAGTCTGAATCTATTGCTATGATGGGTCTAGAACCACTTTCAAGTTCAGTTAATAGTCTGTCGGAATAGATCACTGTGTCTGTCCTATGTAATGTATGGCTCAGGACTGTTTTATGGTAATTATGTCATAGACATAGTGCTAATTAATTTTCAGATATACTCATATAAATATTGATACATTTGAAAAACAATGTCATGGTATGTCAATATCACTGAATTAATAGCATAAGTTACTAAATATTCATATAAGCATCAGGTTCTGGTAAAATGATGTCATATTAAATGCTGAAATTTAGAAGAGCCTGGCTTTATAATTTTCTAATAGCAATGTGAAAGATAATCAATAAGGATTTTATAGACAGATAATATGTACAATATTCAGTATATAATCACCATAAAATAGTCCAGAGCGAAAAAGCCATAGGTTCTGTAGGATAGACACAGTGATCTATCCCAACGGACTATACTGGCTTTTTCCCTCTGGACTCTCCTGTAAAGAGTAATCTGCAGTCTTGAGCCTTTAAAACACTTTAGGGCTGCAGAATATTGATTTTCCATGGCGATGCATATCCTCCCATGCTGTGGTTTTCCACTACCTGAAAGCAATCTATAGATACAGAGTCACAAAGTCTACCAAAGGTACGGTTCATAAAATTTGATGATCTATGAGAACTATATCTCTGAACCCTCTACGGAGAGATACGTTCATTGTAAAGTTCATTGTCGCATTGTGAAAAAACCTTGTTAACAACTGCCAAGGCCTGTATGTGAACCCAAATTTCAGCTCCACACTTTCATAACTACATAACTTAGGCATTAGTTTCATAGTAGTAACCGAATATTTCATAGTGGCTGCTAAATCGTAAGTCAACTGACGGTCGTCGGAGTCTGTTCACACAGCTGTACGCAGCAAAAGTTTGGGCTCCCCTGGTCAGTTTACATACATTGTTGATTTTCTAAGTGTACATAAGACAACATATCCTCTACAGGGAATGCACTGAATTTCTGAATTTAAATAAAACTTACAGGAGAAGGCAAAAACACTTACCTTTCAGTTTAAGTCAGTGTAAAGAGATTTAATTCCAATTGATTTTAGAGTATTTCTATTGGTCATGCAATCATCACGCAATCTTCACACAACGTAAAGGACAGCTGGTGTGTTGAAATGAATTGAAAGCATGCTTTTCTTTGGATAGCAGCGATATGTGCCTTAATTTAAAATATATGTTTGGTTTTGTTCAATATGTGTAAATTCAACAAATAAACATGTTAAAATGTTCAGAAGTGTGTCCTCTGTAGAGGACATATTAACTTATTTTCGTACGATTGTGTATTTACACAATCGTATGCAAAAGTTTGGCCGCCCTTGGTCAGATAACGTTTTGTTGAAGTGAAACAAAGTAAACACATCCCCTACAGAGAGCACACTTCTGCACATTTTAAGGCACAATTACTGTTTGTTTGCTGAATTTAAAGTATTGGGTAAAATAAAACATAGAATATGCCCTGCGCAAAGGTTCCAGCACATTTTATATTTTATGATTGTTTTCTAATACTTTATATTCAGTAAATAAAGAGAAATTGTGCACTAAAATTTGCAGAAATATATAGGGCTCTATGTATGCATATATGTATCTTGAGCCCTGCTTGAGAGCTCAGAAACTCATTGGGGATGCTGAATCATATGCTCCCAGAATTCTGGAACAGGCATGACTGACTCTGCTGATCAAGAAGCCAGCTTTTGCAGTTTCAGCAGCCAACAACACTATTCCAGTTTGATACAAGAGTCGCTCTCAGCTATTGATGTTATACAGCCATTCAAGTCAGCTCAGTCATTTAAGACTCTTCTACAGCTTCTTCTTTATTCTGGACATGTAATTACATTGAATTTGAGCACTATATGAACTGTTTGTCAAGTTGGAGGGTGATGCTAATGGGCACTGGCTTGGGGCCACACAAAAAGGATTTTGCACTGAAATGAGAGATGATTCATTTTGGGTAAGAGGACGTCAAAGTATGGGCAGTAATCGTTTCTTTCAGCTTCATGACTGTACTCTTTTGTTAATATATTGGGTTTACTCCAGGGACCGAATTGAAAGTTATATAGTGTTTTTCTGTGAGCCAAAAACAATCGTGGTTCACATTGTACGTACACTATGAGCCGAACCGTAGACTGGAACTGTTACGCTAAGCCACTCATTCCGGCTCTGATGGTGAGAGTTACACCAGACACAGGCCGGAGTGCCTCCAGATTAACAGCAACAGGCTGAGTACCTTCTCTGACTTCTGCACTGTCCATCAGTGTCACTCTGTCAAGTCTGTCTGATTGCAGCCTGAATGACAGGTCGCTAATTTATGGAATGTGACATGCAGAGTCATCAGGCACAGTGTGCAGCCTCAGAGGCTTCCCTGGTTCTGCAAAGGAGAGCTGCTCAAAAACATGGCCCGGTTTCAAAGGCAATTGAGTGATATTTGATATCGCAGAAGGCACAGCTCGAGGAACCTTTTCTAAGAGCTGAGAGGGCAGTTTTTTGTCTCTTTTATCGCATTCATTGACCAAAGCCATATTATCATCACTGGCTATGAAGTCAGCTTGACTCTCCTGTACTGTTGGAACCGTGTCACTTTGTTCCAGTGAATCCTGCAGGGGAGAGGCTTCAGGTCCTACTTTATGTGTGTTATAACATTATAACACCATGTGCAGTGGGTAGCGCTGTCGCCTCACGACAAGAAGGGCCTGGGTTCGATTCCTGGCTTGGTGACCAGGGTCCTTTCTGTGTGGAGTTTGCATGTTCTCCCCTGTGTCTGCGTGGGTTTCCTCTGGGTTCTCTGGTTTTCTCCCACAGTCCAAAGACATGCAGTCAGACTGATTGGATATGCTAAATTGCTCCTAGGTGTGTATGAATGTGTATATCTATGTGTCTGCCCTGTGATGGACTGGCGGCCTGTCCAAAATGGTTCCTGCCTTCCACCCAGTGACTGCTGGGATAGGCTCCAGCACCCTATATATATCTTCTTCTACATTTGGAGTGACTGTCAACGTTTGAGAGAAAAAAAGAGCGAGAGTGGGAGAGAAAGAGACACTAGCTTTATGTTGTGATAAGGCACAGATATCACTGACACAGATATTACCACAGTTAAAAAAAACAAAAAATAATAATAATACACACACACACATATATATATAGGTACTGGTGATACCCAGCCCTAAACTCAACTTGGCGACTGTTTTCTCAAGTATTTATGCACTTCAAACCCTAAACTTTCATGTTAGAGTTGTGAGATACTGTATAATCACCAACAAAAGAAGGAGTGGTTGAGTCACTGTGTCTGAGAGTGAAACTTACGAGCAGGTGTCACGACATGGCCTGCTCTCAACACCTTTCCTCAGTCATCCCTGTATAAACTCATTAACTAAATCACAGCCTGTGCTGAAAGCCTAATGTAATCTCTCTCTCGGTCTCTCTCCCTCTCTCTCTCTGTCTCTGTCTCTCTCTGTCTGTCTCTCTCTCTCTCTCTCTCTTTCTCTCTCTCCCACACAAACACACACTCTCTCTCACTCACACTAACTCACATTGGTGTACCCATGTACGTCAAAAAGTCGTCTGATTTTTCTAAATTTCCGCATAATTCTATAATTGTGATTTTAAAAAAGTAATTCAGAGTGGTTTGTATGAAATTGCCATTGTAGAGAAACGTACAAACTCAGATTTCTTTACAGTGATGGTGATACAAATCGTGATGTCTACAAAGAAAACAAATTAGCAATTTTATTTTTTCATCCAAAATAACCAGTGAACCTGCATGTGTTATGTAATATGATAATAGTAAAATTGTGGTTAATCTAAGTTGTAAGTTATTTTGCCTCACACACCTTGCAGGTACCTCTCTACCATGAATAGATTTAAACAAATTAATTTTAGGCCAAAACATTCTCTCTCAAAACTATTGTAAAGCAATGTCTCAGGCATCAGTTGGCATATTCATAAGCATTTCATGTAATAACTTTCTTTGATGGAGATATTAGGGGCATTACACTCTTCAGACGTCTGGTTCCTATCATCACCACTGTGAACAATTCTGACTCGGTTTCTCTAGAATGGCACCTTTTACATCAAACCACTCTGAATTACTTTGTTTACATCTTAAGTTAGACATTTAATTGCACCGAATTTTTAAAAAAGCAGTGGAATTCCCCTGTAAGAGTTGCTAGGCCCTGCTGGCCTTGGGGACAGTGTCAGGGACAGTGGAACCAAGCTTCCTTTAGCTAAACATAGTAAATGCTAAATGCGTTTTAACCTTGCTGGTCCTGTAGATAACAGAAGTGAACAGATCAAGTGTTTTTAAGCCTGTTGTTGAATTCCATTGTGCAGGTTTATTAATATACTTTTCTACTGTGGGAGGAAGGGAAGTTGAATAATACTTCATTTGTGCATGCAGACTATTAGTCCATTGTGTTTTCAGGAGTGATCACGTAGTTGTCAAAAAAGAAAGAAAGAACGTGGAACCTGACGCAGAGCTCAGTCTGGGCTGCTTCTGTCTTGTGCTAGAAGGCTGAAGCTCACATGCTCAAGATCCAAATATGGAGAATAGGAATGATGGAGGACAGGGAGGTGGGAAAATGTGCGTAGAGCCGGAGTAGCAAGTAGGAATATCTTCACTAAAAGGCAAAAATGTTCTTAACTTTAATGTAAGTTAATGTAGCGAAATTTTATACCAAGTAATTTTGGTGTATTTTTTTGTGGTCCTTTTTTCATGGAAAATTTAGCACTGATGTTTCACTTCTTAAAGTCTTTGGAAGCTTCTGAATGAGGGAATCGGGTGGATCTGTTTAGAGCTGCAGTAAAACTCAAAGTCATTAAGAATCGGTTAGTTGTACACTATTGCTAAAGACATCAGGGCAAAACTACACTGTAAAATATTTTACTACATAATTACAGTAAATTACGGGCTACTAGTTGCATTACTTTCCCAGCAGTTTTCTGTACCATATTAACAGTGAATAACAGTAAAATAGCGACTTCATACTGTGCTTCCACAGTTACCTGCTCCACATGATCACTGTAATGTAGCAGTTATTCTGCTATGCACTTACAGCAATTTGCTACATTTAAAATACAGTAATCTCCTGTATTTTGTGTAACAACTATGAAAGTAAGGCTACTCAGTAGCAACTTTTACCAGACCTATGAATATGTTATTAAAAAAACACATACAAATCTCACTTAACATATTATTACCTTTTTGGTCTTTGCTTATAATTTGCATAAACATGGCCAGTACTCTGGCAATACCAAAAAACCTTTAAAAGTCTTTAACTCTCAGTTGCTGTAATGTCTCATAGTGCTGTGTGATACAGCTCAACATCAACTTCACAGGAATCTGATGTGTTATTACAGAAAATATCTTAAGATGAGTTCAATAAAATGATGAATACAGAATTTTACTGTGAAAAATATTGTGAGATCCATTTTACTAATGAACAGTGTATATTATTTAACATGTCTGCTATAAAAGTTTGATTTTCACAGTTAAAGTTAACTTTTTCCTATGGTGTAGTTTATGTGTATTAGTTTATGTGTTATATTACATTTGAGGTGTGGCCTTTCTCGCAAACTTCAGTCACTGCACTCCAATTACAGCACTAACACTACATAGAAATTTGTTCTATATTCATCAGCTCAAGCAGCTGAACCCACTGCTAAAGAGAGAGAGTGCTCACACTGGGATGCCCTCTATCTGTGCTGTTCTTGTGTTTGTGTGTTTTGCTGTAGTGTGTGGATGCGACCTGGCGCAGGGAGGGTTCTTCATGAAGAATGGAGATTACCTCTGCACTCTGGACTACCAGCGTATCCATGGCACCCGCTGTAACACCTGCGGGGAGTTTGTGGAGGGGGAGGTGGTCACTGCCCTGGGGAAGACCTACCACCCAGCCTGCTTCGTCTGCACCATCTGCAAGTAAGACAGCAAATAGGAGTAATACTTGATACACACTATAATAGCTGAATATTGTAATATCTGCAGCATATTCAGGTATCTCACAGAGTTCTGTGTGTACAGATTACAAAAATTATCACCTCAACACCTCAAAATATTCCTTCCGGAATGCTTATTATATGAACATTACAAGAATAACTCTAAATCTATAGTAATATAGCCCTCTGTAGCCCTCTAGAGTCCTGAATTTGTTCTGTACTTCTGTCCTTTTTTCTAAACAACAGTACAGGAGAGCAGGATGATGTAACATGAAAGCAGAATGTGTCTTTGGTCATTTCATATTCCCATATCTCTGTCCTCTGAATTTTCAACAGAAATTGGGCAGATGTTTCTCAAGGTTCACCTGGAACTTTTTGTACAATAAAAGCAACGTTTTCATAGTACATGCTTTTTTGATTACTTACTATGAGTAACCAAGTTCCCTATATTATTTTAATCATGTTCTTAGTGTTTATAATACCATTTTGAAGCATAGAACAAACTCACAGTTAAAGCTAGCCAGACTAAAGCACAGCCTCCACGTGACAGGCTTAACTAGCTAACTAAGCCTACCAAATCAAAATTCATATCCCCCATACAAATTCCAAAGACTTCATTTTTGGAAGTTATCATGCACTGATTAGTCAGAAATGTACTACATGTGATGTAAATAAAATATATTTTAAAAAATAATCAATACATTTTCATTTAAGTAGTTGTAGTTTGCATCATTTTGCCAGACTTCATAGCTGCTAGTACAGCTAGCCCCTCAGTCTGTTACCATTAAGCCCAAATATGGGGTAAATTGTATCATTTGCACTTACGCTGCTTTTGTCTGAAGTGTTCAGTGCTGGAAACAACATTTATCTTTTCATTCGGTGGTAAAGATGTGCAGATGCGCAAGTGTTGCATTGATAACAAACAAACATTAAAACGTATTGTATTAATAACAGCAATCTATACTAATCTAAACCTATTCATATTTAAAATGGAAGGCAGTGGTGTTACCCACTACTCTATACCAACCAACCATCTATAATCCCTTTAACCTATAATACTTTTTAAATTATTTAGCGAAAAGCTAAAATATTCTACTTTATGTCCCACTCAGATTGTTATAAACCACATAAGCAGCTCCGAACAACTTGACATGTATAGAGGCAAATGTGTGATGATTTAAGCATGTAGTTTGCACAAAGCTAATTTATGGATATGAGCTTCTGTCACCTATTAGCTGCATTAGCCTCATAGCTTCAGTGCAGAGCTAAAGAAGGAAATTTTGGACACCAAACATGTCTAGATTTGTTCAGCTATATTTGGCATGAGAGGAAAACTGTAAACCTTTTCTAGATCACTGTACCAGCACACTTCCGTTTTTTCATACGTCATTTTTATGCATCACATCGTCCAGGAATATGATGATGAATTAGACTGTTAGGAAGGTTGACATCTCAGGATTCAGACATTACAAACCAAAATGTAGTCTTGATAACATGGCAAGAGTCAGAGGTCAGTTTAGAAACTCCTCCATTCCAGTCTCTGTTACTCTGTGTCAGTAATTCATATAATTATTCTGACAGTTGGGAAAAAGGGGTTTGTTCCCTTTCGAATGAGACCAAGATCATGATTGTAGCCCAGAGTACATGGGAACAGCACTCCTTTTTCTTTGGATGTGCTGTTTCAGGTAAAAATGGGGTGACACTTAGAACGTTAATTTGGTTTTGTGGCTATTTCTTTAAAACACTAACTATTATAAATAGTTATAATAATTATGTATTTAAAGGTTTACTGTCTGGGGAAGTCGAAAAGGAATTTTGAAGGTGATAATTTCTTTTATGGTTCACAGGCGGCCGTTTCCTGCTGGAGACAGAGTGACGTTTAATGGAAAGGACTGCCTGTGTCAGTACTGCGCCGAACCCATGTCTCCTGGCCCCACCAAGGACATCACTGGGCCTAGCAGTGAGTTTCCTACAAACCCTCATCATGTGCTATTACTGCTGCAAACTACACCACTCTGAGCTTATTACCTTCTACCTTACAGTTCCAGCTACTGAACCCTAGCATTTCCACCTGTGAGAACAAAGAGTAAATATTCTTTATAGCTACCTTTTGATGAAGTCTGCATAGCAACAGGGTTTTATTGTACAGCATATTATTTAAAAAGCAGAGTATTAGGTTGTGTGATCTGTGTGAAGATCAGTCTTTTGCATTTTTGTGGAGTTTTGAATAATTATTGCTGCTTTTGTATTTGACTATATTTAAATCGCAATGTTCCTTCAAGATCTCATATAATAGGTATTCTGAAGAGTGTATGAATCTCTGACGCCACCTAGTGGAGTGGAATGTCTAATTCAGTTGAGACTGGGATATTTCTGAGTAGTACAGTCTCACAGGCCAAATAGTTCTGCGTCTGGGTGTCTGTGAACATGCGCGGGCATTCACACAGGTGTCTATCAGCACGCTCGCACATGAAATGAACATGTTCGCCAAAGGGCAGCGTCCAAACCAGAATGTATATTAAACTTTAAAACTGCCTAAGCTCTACCAGGTAGCCAGTCAGCATTTGCTTGATGCAAGCTCCATAGACTCGCACAACTCTGAGAGATTTTGGAGGTGTGCACACTGTGGCCTCTCCAAGCCTCTCCCAGCTACACTTTCAGTGACCCCCCTCTCTGCGTCTCAACACAGATGCATTTATGTGCATCTTTATGTGCAGTATAAATTATTACTCCTTTCTCTCTGTGTGTGTGTGTGTGTGTGTGTGTGTGTGTGTGTGTGTGTGTGTGTGTGTGTTTCAGCGTGTGCTGGTTGTGGTAGGGACATTAAGAATGGCCAGGCACTGCTAGCCTTGGACAAACAGTGGCACTTGGGCTGCTTCAAATGTAAAGCCTGTGGCAAAGTACTGACCGGAGAATACATCAGCAAGTAAGTCAGACACACACACACATACAAACAGATCTTGCTTAATGCTCTATGAGGACATAGTATATGTCCTACACATATATATATATATATATATATTATATATATATATATATGTATGTATGTATGTATGTATATCTGCTGTTGGAAGAAAACCTTGTAAATCCTTTTTTGACATTTTTCTGTTTTTGACATATTTCTACCAAAAGAAATGGCCCAAAATTGTGTGTATATAAATATATATATAAGCTGAACACTCATAAAATCGTTTACTTTTGCCCCCTCTTTTCATTACAATACTACAGACCTTGGCTGCTGAATGTTATGTACTATATATAAAAATGAGTACATTTTAAATACATTGTTTAATTCAAAAATGTATTTCAAACACTGCACCACTTTTTGGACTTTTCTATACATTAAAAAATGTATTTGATAAAAAGACTTATATTTACTTTTACACTTATAAATTCATTATGACCTTTTCATTCTTCCATTTCTTTCTCTTTGTACAGAGATGGCGCCCCCTACTGTGAGAAAGATTACCAGATCCATTTTGGAGTGAAGTGTGAGGCATGCCACCAGTTTATCACAGGCAAAGTTCTGGAGGTACTGCGACTTCTGCTTGGCTCTAAAGTATAGCTCCTTTTTACCATCAGCCTGGCTCTGGTCAGTTGCACTTCCTTGGCTAGCTGTGCTACAACACATGTTGACAGACACGTTTCTGAAGATTGCCACTCCTTGACTGGTTCTCAAAAGAAAATAGCTCCACCCTTCAGCACTATTTGCATATCGTAATCTACTGAGTGGGTGTGTAGATTTGCAGAAGGGTGCAGTTACATGCAGCGCAGACTGTGTGGTGTTTAACGGCTTTATTCATGGTTGAACTGGACTGCAGGAATGCATCTGGACTGACTTTTAGTAAGACGCTTTTTTTAGATTTTGAAAGTCCTTTGTGGGTAACAGAGCAAGTGAGGGTGTGAGTATGTGTCTGTGTCACAGCGGTGGGCAAATTGGTGATATATTAGCATTATTGTGATATGATTTTTTGAGAAAATCTTTGGTATTGTCCTTACATGAACACTGAACAATATGTATTGATCTTTTATGATGCATGCATTATAAAAAACAGCAATTATAGATTTAGTCTTATTATAAAAACCTGTAAAAAAACAATCAGCGTATAGTAACTGCATAGTAACAAGTAGCTGATTGAATGTCAGGGCATTATGACATCATCTTACTTAATCCATTTATTTTTTACAAATGTATAGTTTAATCATTGATGAGAAATGGTTAATTGAGATGTCTTTACAGTGATGGTGACAAGAAACAAGGGTCACAATGTATACCATGCAAATACAGTGATTGTATTTATGAACCAAATCGACCAGTGAACCTACACATGTCTTCTGAGTTTATATATGTAGTGTTAATAGTGGTAATTTAGGGGCTAATTGGAAAAATACATTTCTTTCGAGAGTGTTTTGACTTACAACACCCTGCATGTGCCCCTCTGTCATGAAATGAATAAAAACACAATTTAGGCCAAAACCTCAGGCATCAGACAGTGTATTCATAGGTTTTTATGTTATAGCTTTGAAATAGGGAGCTTTTAGAGACATTTAATGCTTTAGATGTCTGGTTCCTATCACCACCACTGTGAAAGATTCTGACTCTGAATTTCTCTACAATGGCACATTTCACATCAAACCACTCTGAATTACTTTGTTTGCATCTTAGCCATTTAATTATACAGAAATTTTAAAAACCTAGTGGAATTCCCTTCATATTGTTGCGTTATATTTTGAAATATTACCCACCCTTAGTTTGTCGTTATGAATGATTGTAGAGGATGTTTTCTTTCAGCACTTTGCTGAAGAGCTGTTATTAGATGAGTCTAATGAGGTCCTATGAGCCTTTTGCATCGTAAGAGGCAGAGGGTGCAGAAGGGTCACGCTGTAGAGGCATTTACTCATCTAAGAGCTTTTTGAAAGGCCTCTGAATGAAGTGAACTTCTGTCTGAGAGCATGGTGCTTCTGTAAATGGCTTAAGGTGGTAGTTTGGTGAATTCACTGTCCTACAGCAGAGTTCCTTATGTTCTTTAGAGTGCACTCCATTTCAGTAGTGTGTAGTGGACCCTAAGGCATGGCAGGCAGGTGGGCACTTTAGTATAGGGAAGTGAGCATGTGCAGTATAGGCTTTTGACTCTCAGTGGTTTTATTACTGTCCAAATCCACCATGTCAGTAATTTTTACAGACTGAGTGCTTTACCTGCTTTAAAACATACTGTAGAAATAACCTCAGGTTACATTAACCTCTTGTAGGCCTGTGCCCAGTGACGGATAATCGAGTTACCATGGTAACAGCTCCCAGCGACGGTAAAAAATAATTTACCGCCAATTAAAAAAAATGTTAATTTATTGATTTATTTCATGTAAATCTGAGAAAGACAGCAGTCTTTCCACATGTAAACATCACATGCACTCAAAACATTGAGTGATGTGATATCCTACATTAATACAACATTTATTAAATCAAACATAGAAAGGTTGTTCTAGAAATGCACCTGTGCTGCTTAAACAACACTTCCAGACACATATCATGCCCATAACAAAAGCCATCTTAGGGCATCCTCACATAACTGTGTCAGGTTTCAGACTAAAAAATGACTTTGGAATTACGAAAAACACAAGTAAAAACATGTCTCGGCTCTTGTTTATCAGGCGAAATGGGTAATTTTAAACAGCCTCAGGTGAAATGCCTTCATAGAAGAAGACAAATAGCTAAGCTAAGCGGCCACAAACTCTCTGCATTCATGTTAGATTAATTGATAAAAAAGATGACAATATACTACAACCACAACTTTTACTGAACTGCAGTTTTTGTTCTCTTTTTTGTTCGTGTTCTCTTATTTGACAAAGATTAAAAATCAACTCGCACTCAATCACTGTTTTTTTTCTGCATCCGGTTCAATGTTAGGAACCATCTTAAAATGATTGCACAAAAGGAAAAAATACACTCAACTTGGTTAAACCTTCTAACTGTTTATTTTCCACATGTGGAAAAGGAGTTTTTGTGGATTTTGAGTCAAATATGCGTTGTTTATATTCTCAGGCTCAAGTCAAAGTAATATGTATTGCTCTCAAGTGTACAATCATTAAAACATATCAAATTAAGTTGTATTTTATGCACTGATGTTGACTATTGGCTGTGAATTCTTATTCTAATGACACATTGCATTCACTCAAGTCAGCTAGGTAGATGGTTAGGGTAAATAAAATTGCTATTGAATAAAATTTGTGGACATTTTTTCTACTTGTGAGCAGCTGAACGTTTTGGTGTTTTGGTGTGACAGCAGGCAGTTTATCAATTAGCTGCTCCCATTTCTGTAATTTATATTGATTTATTGATTTATTATCCCATGCAGTCATAAACATACAGACGTCCTGTGGTAGAATTACTTGACCCCACTTCTCTATGTAAAACAGTTTCCGTCTAAATAGTGTGCGGGAAAAATGGCAAAAATATACAACACAATAGAGTAGGAGGCATATTTACAATACACAATATGTATGTATCATGTTTAGTTTTTCTGTGGTTCGTGAACGAATTGGTATGGACAGAACGCACCACCAACACAACAGCGCCACATTTAAAGACTGTGGACATTATGAGTGCTGTTTTTAATTAAACGTTTGCAGAAATAATCTAGGAAGGTACATCAAAAATAAATTAACATGTGGTGATATCATGATAGACTGACATCCAATCAGCTACTTCTTGGTGAACTGTATGTGTAGTTACTATACAACCTTATTTCTAAAACAGTAGGGATGCTGTGTAAAATGGAAATAAAAATAGAATGCAGAGATATGCAAATCATTTAAACTCCATATTTAATTGAAAATAGTGCAGTGACAACATAACGTCTTGAAACTGAGAAATTTGATTGTTTTTTAGAAAGTATATGCCCATTTTGAATTTGATGCCAGCAGCACATTTCAAAGAAGTTGGGACGGAGGCAATAAACGACAGGTAAGGTTGTAAAAAGCTAAAAAAACAAAACAAAATGCAATAATTCAAGAATAAAGTTTTGCAGTGTAAAATAGCAAAGAACTTGGGTATTTCATCATCTACATTATATAATATCAGTTATCTCTCCCTATGTAAGGGACAAGGTTGAAAACTAATATTTGCTGGCCGTGATCTTCGGGTCCTCAGGCGGCACTGCATTAAAAACAGACACGATTCTCTAGTGGAAATCACTACATGGGCTCAGGAACACTTCTGAAAACCACTGTCTGTGAACACAGTTTGTCGCTGCATCCACAAATGCAAGTTAAAACTCTACCATGCAAAGAAGAAACCATATATAAACAGGATCCAGAAATGCTGCCACCTTCTCTGGGCCCAGGCTCATTTAAGATAGACAAAGGTGAAGTGGAAAAGCGCCCTGTGGTCTGACGAATCAAAATTCTTTTTGGAAAACTTGGACGTTGCGTCCTCTGGGACAGTTCGGCTTGTTATCAGCAGATCACAGTTCAAAAGCTGGCATCTGTGATGGTCTGCATTAGTGCACATGGTATAGATGGCACCTTTAATGCTGAACAATATATGCAAGGTTTTGAAGCAACATATGCTGCCACCCACATGACCTGTTTTTCAGAGAAGGCCTTGCTTATTTCAGCAAGACAATGCTAAAGCACATTCTACATGTATTACAACAGCACGGTTCTGTTGTTAAAGAGTCCGAATGCTAAACTGGCCTGCCTGCAGTCCAGACCTGTCATCCGTTTGAAAACAAATGCTGCATTATGAAATGAAAAATACAACAAATGAGCCCCCGAACTGTTGAACAGCTGAAATCCTATAACAAACAAGAGTGGGAAAACATTTCACTTTCAGAACTACAGCAGTTGATCTCCTCAGTTCTCAAACACATGCAGAGTGTTGTAAAAATTCACCCACCCCAACTTTTTTGAAACGTGTTGCTGACATCAAATTCAAAATGGGCATGTATTTTTCAAAAACCATGTAAATATTTACAAATAGAATTTCTCAGTTTCAACATTTGTTGCATTTGTACTATTTTCAATTAAATATGTAGTTTAAATGATTTGCACATCATTACATTCTATTTTTATTTCAATTTTGCACAGTCTCCCAGCTTTTTTGGAAACGGGGTTGCACATTGGTTGTTGTTTACAGGCTGGTCGAGTTCTGTCTTTTTTATGAAACCTGCTGTTGTTCAGTTTCAGAAGTACTATACAAATGATATACCCAAAAAAAGAAGATTTGAGTTGTAATTCATCACAATAACATTGTATTATCATCGTATTATACCCCCGACTTTTAATCTATTTTCTCTGCATGTGCAAAACTCAGCATGGTGTGAAAGCTGACAGCAGGTTTAAGGAAGCAATATGGACTGTATATCTTTTTAGTGCATGGAGATCATCCAGGCAGAGAATGCAAATAACTGTCTTTAAATGGGATCATACAAGAGGCTGTGTCAACCACACTGTATGATGACTTTATTTGCTTAGCAGCTGTCTGTCTCATTAGAAAGTGTTCATGCAAATCAGTTTTGTCATGAAGCTCTCCTGTGCTGGAAGCTTGCACCTCTTACAGAGGATGGAATGCAGAGCGTAAAGAGTCCAAATAAAGTACGAATTGTATAAATAAATGTATATAAATATATAAATATAAATAAATTACTATTAGTTTTAGACTACTAAGGACCTTCACAGTGTGATAATTCATGAATGTGTGTGTGTGTGTGTGTGTGTGTGTGTGTGTGTGTGTGGGTGTGATCTGCAGGCAGGGGATAAGCACTACCACCCCAGCTGTGCTCGCTGTAGCAGATGTAATCAGATGTTCACTGAAGGAGAGGAAATGTACCTGCAAGGTGAGACCACAGCAGAAACTATGATGCTTTGCACAAAGCAAAAGCCAATTTAGTTCGTTCCTCCTTAAAGCGATACTTTAGCCATGTTTACACAGTTTTCTCCTGTTAACCCAAATATTTGGCGTCTTTCTCAGTTTTGCTTTGGAGCTATGATGTTATGATGTTAGTGTAGATGACAATAGAAAATTATGCCTCACCAATTAGTGCTGTGCAAACTAAGTAATCTCAAATAGACTTGCATTTGTTTTTTCTGACACTTTTTGTTTGTTCTTCTTTCTATCACATACTGTTATCTATAAAAATAGAATAAGTACAGACAGAATTCATGCTGCAGTACTTTTTCAGTGTCTTTCCACATCAACTTTTTGGAATGAAGAGAAATTTGTGTACATTTGTGTTTGCTTGGTGTTGCACAAGATGTGCAATGGGTGTTAGGTACTGTTGCATTACAAATACTGTAGTTTACTGTACTACGCAAAGTCAAAGACCACCTTTCATTCATTAATTTCCATTCAAAATGTTAATTTATCAGCATCAGGACAAAATAGCAGAAAACATGTTTAAAAGATCGCACAACAGCTAAACGTAATATCAAAAATTTCAGTATTTGCTGTTTAGTGTTTAGTATTTACTGCAGTTTTCTTTCTCTTCAGGAGACTCGCTTTCAGTTTTTCAAAGAAATCTTTGAAACCCCCAGCCCCCAAACCAAAACCTGATATTGAGGACTGGACTCTGGGGCGGTCAGTCCATTGTTTTGAGAACACCAGCAGCTTCTTTGTTTGATTTGCAGATTTTCTTCTCTTTTGTCTATTTCCTTTTCTCAGTAACGGCTTCCTGACAGCTACACATCCTCGTGTTGAGTCTTCACATTTTCTCTCTATCTCTTAATCATTTTTTGAAGTTCAGTTTTGGAAACTTATTTTTTTTTGTAACTTTCTTTTTGATTTTTCCCTTCCTTATGCAAGTGGATTATCTCACATCTAAACTTCTCAGAAACATCTCCTGAAAAATGAATAACTTTTTCCTCTCATTGTTTCCTAAGGTCCCAGCCTACTGTGAGCATGTATTGAACCAGCTGTCGCTGACGTTCTTTAAGCTCTTACTGTGTTGGGGAGATTGTTTCAATTCGCATTTTCTGTGTTTGTTCAGGATCAACCGTTTGGCATCCAGGCTGCAAGAGCTCCACCAGAACAGAAGAGAGACACAGGGTAAGGCTGTCCTTCCTGTCTTCACATGTTTTGACACGGTGAAGCTGTGCATCTTGTCTTACTGCCTACACTTTTCTATGTCGAGAATTAAGGGCGTAGCATTGGTTTCAGAAGTTGGAGGGACACTATCAAGTTGGAACATAACTATGAAAATGGGTGTAGCATTAACATAAAATAGGCACACACTACAAAAAAATATATCTCAACAATTGAAATCATCTTAAATCTACAGAATATATATAATATTTATCATTTTAAGATTGTCATAAAATATTGTAAGATTTATTTAACCTATTTCTAGACATTGTTACTTGTTTTAGTCATTCAATCTAGTAAAATTGTTATTCCATTGCCAGATTTGCTTCTTTCAAGAAGTAATCTTTGAAAAAGTGATCTGCCAATGGAGTAAAAATCAATTAGATAAAATTACTTGTGAAAAATGTCTGAATTTTCAGTAACTTTATTTGGAGGCATCTTATAAAGGAAATTATGTAGGAAAATGATCACTCATCATTCAAAATGAATCAAAATTTTCCATAGAACTAATATGTGGTGCTCTTAACTAGGCCTGATAAGGCCTCATAAGTTCCATTACTTGGGAATAATGCTTCATAACAGTGCTATGCATGGTAAAATATCTATCATTACAATGTCATTCATGTCATTTAATGTTTTTAAGTCATAATATGATTTCTGGCATGAGCTGTTTCTATAAATTCACATACTGCTTAAAAAGTACATCATTCATTGCTTATACATGTGCAGCTAACCTACAAATAATTGCTACCGAATATTCTAATAATATTTATACAACAATCTCAAAATGAGAAATATTAGATATAAAGACTATATTTAAGATGATTTTGCTTGTCAAGATTTTATTTTTGCAGTATAGTTGAACCATAGAAATGGAAGTGTATTGCAACTAAGTAAATGGGTGTAGCATTACCATGGAAATAGGCCTATAGATGGAATAGCCTATAGTGAGCCAGTGTTATTCTGTTTTTACCATCTAGATTATGACACCTGGACCGTAAGAGTAGACCTGTCCTATTTGTAGAGTTTTCCCCTACAACCTTTAGCTAATTCTGAAAGTTTGGGGACTAATTTGGAAAAAGTGGGGTGGCATGTCCCACCCCATCCCCAGTGTCCTCTCTCAAGGATTGTTGGTATCTCCGAACCTTAGAGAATAAAGACAAGTCCGGTTCCGTATATAGGCTGTTTTGATACGTATAGAATCAGGTGTGTTCTCCAACCTCCCCTCTGCCTTCCTCCACAGCTGTTGCCCACGTCACTAGCGCTCCTCGCCAAAACAGAAAGGCAGGTACTGTATTTGCTATCGGCTGTGCCATGGCATCACACGACCATGCGCTGCCCCTTGGAGGCGGCCCGGCTGCAGTGCCGCCTCCCTCCGAGCGTACCGCAGACTCATTTTCAATCAGAACGCCTGCATTCGATCCGCAGCCACGTAGGACCATGAACCGCCATTAACATCTCGCTCAGCATAGTTGAAGCAGCGGTAGATCAACATAATAAACTATGGACTTACTGACAGAGTCACAGAGGCCATGAGAAGCTCATTGCTTTGTATGGTTGTCACCGCTGTTGGCTGGAAATGTCTCAGGTCGTGTGAATTTATCATAGCTGTAGATATTAGATTTTTGAACAGCCTGTAAGCGGTGATGACACACAAACCATTTCAGTGGCCTTATGCAGTGTTTTCAGTAGTGCTTTATGCTGTCAATCAAGTTGGCAACTGTCTTAGTGTAAAATTCATATGCCAAAGGCATGATAACCATCATAGATTTTTGCAGCTGTATATGAAGTCATGACATCATTTGGCCAAGCAGATACAGTCGTATGCAAAAGTTTGCACATCTCTGCTCAGATGACATGCTTTGTTGATTTTCTAAGCGAAGTTTTCTCTACAGAGAACACACTTCTGCTCATTTTGGTGCACAATTGCTGTTTATTTACTGAATTTTTTACATAGTGTAGTTTATGTTTTTTTCCAATGTGTTAAACCTAATAAGCAGATAAGCAAATAAACAGAAATTGTGCACTAAAATTTTGCAGAAATTATTTATGTAATATTTAAATGTGCTGTCTGTAAAGGATGTGTTAACCTATTATATGTTATATAATATATTGAACAGCAATACAGTGTGTATATCACTGTTACCGGAACAAAAACTCATATGTCCATTTTTGACGTTTTTCAGTTTTTGACATATTTTGAAAATACTTATTGCCCATTACATTGTGTGTAAATTTCATGATGAATGGACCAAAAGAAATGACCCAATATGACTTGGAAAAAAGTCTGGTTCCATTGACTTACATTAAAAAGTGAAGTATGTTTTTTCCTTCTCCTGTACCATTTTGGAGATACGAGGTTTTGTTCCGCGATATACACACAGTATTGCTGTTTGATGTCCATCCACTTTTTTAAGAACATCTTGCCTTTTACTTCCACTCTCAGCCCGTTTTATCAGTCCTGTATGTACACTCACTGGTCACTTTATTAGGAGCTCCACTCTAATACTGGGTTGCTCTCAAACCAACCTGATTTCTTTGTGTCATTGATTCAACAAGGTGCTAGAAACATTCTTTAAGATATTGTGGTCCATGTTGACATGATTGCATCACTGCAGATTCTGTCAGCTGCAAATTTATGCTATAAATCTCCTGTTCTGTCACATCCCAAAGGGCTCTATTGGATTCAGATCTGGTGACTGAAGAGGCCACTGATGTACACTGAACTCATTGGAATCAGTTTGAGATGATGTGCTTTGTGACATGGCTTATCATGCCTGACTTAGCCATTAGCAGACGGGTAAACTGCGGCCATAAAGGGATGCATATGGCATTCAAATAATGCTCGATTGGTATTAGGGTGCTCAGTTAAAACCCCAAGCTTGAACTGATGACAAAGCAGTTTGGGTCCATGGATTCCCCCCAGAAAATGAAAATTCCAAAAGTTCAGCATTTGATGAAATACTCAGACCACCCTGTCTGGCACCAACAACCACAATCAACGTCACTTAGATCACATTTGTTCCTCATTCTGAGGTTTGATGTGAACTTTACTGAAGCTCTTGCATGATTTGAGGCACTGTGCTGCTGTAACATGATTGGCTGATTGGATAATTGCATGACTGAGCGGGTGTTCCTAATAAAGTGGCTGGTGAGTGTATGTCAACTGCAGTCCATCTGTTCTAATGCACAAGCTGTCACCATTGGTCCATTTGTCATTGGTCACTTTGTGACTACAGGACCTCTGTTGACCAGATATTATTTGAGTGCTGGCTCGTTCTCAACACAGCAGTAACACTGATATGGTAGTGGCCTGGTATGAATTTGAGTGTATGAGACACAGCAATGCTGCTGTTGCACATGTCAGTGTCAATGCTAAGCTTAGAATGGTCCACCTTCTAAACTTTTATGGCCAAGAGCAGCTCTGTGGTCAGAAATTGATGAAGGATTAGAAGCTGGCTAACACAAACTGTGCAGATGAGCTACAAGTCTGTAACTGTACACCAGTGAGGTGGAGCTACAAACTACAAAGTGTTTCCAGTAAAGTGGCCACTAAGTGAGCAGCTGAGTCATCAACAAACCTGCTGTTAGGCCATGTTTGGGCAACTATGATGTCATGCTTCAGGCACCACCCAAGTAGATGTTTGTGAGAACCTTTTCCTCTGTCTAATCCATGATTTATCTGTCATCCAATCATAATCATAGCATTCACAAGCCTATTTACCTAGAATAAAAGACATAACAGGTTTGGATTCATCCTCCATAAGCCACCAATCCTACTTCTAAGCCCTGTTCTACCTGTCTCATAAACATAACCATTACCTGAAGCATACCTAGTTTTATGGAATGACAGAAAGGGTCTAAAGTCATCCCTCATTAGCCATTCACATCTGAGTGAATGAGTAAGTAGAGTGTGTCTAGACTTTTTTCACTAATTAATCATATTTTGTGCAGTCTGATGCTGTATCACCCAGATGGTGGGATTACATTGTATGTACAGTGTCTAGCAATCTAAGCAAAGCTGGCGGAGAGCCTTTGGCCTGCTGGTGTGTGTAGATGTTGGTTGCTAGTTCTAAACTTGTGTTCGCTCCACAGCCGACACGCTCGTCGTCCGAGAGTATGTGTTCCAGACCTGGTTCAAGCGTACCTGGCTCACCGGGTCACACCATATATGTAAGTGCTGTCACATGCTAACACTTGTTCATGGGGGTATATCTTGCGTTCCCATACAGCAGCTACAGTCAAATCTTACTTTACCAACATAATTTAAAACAAAAAATGTTGAATTGTTCTTTTTATGTATTAGTATTATGCCCAAGAAACTACTCTAAAATGGCATAGAAGAGTCCCTAAACCTTAACAGTCATTAAGAATGTAAAGATCTATGAATATGCATGATTATGCAAATTGTAAAACACCCTTCGGCCCTTTGTCTCAGCACAGCATCAGTGAAGACATCTGTGATTGTGTGTATCTGTTATAGCCTTCAGGCATTCACAATATGCTAACGCTAGCTTCTAGTGCTAATGAGGACCTTGAAGCAAAATAAGCTTAAGCTAACAGTCCACACACATAAAACACAGGTTTACCCGCTCAGATTTTAGCCTTTGTTCTCTAAACTTGCATTTATGAGGCTTCACTGAGCTGGAATGAACCTGTGTGGTTGTGTGTAAAGCTGTTTAGTGATTCATGCTAAGCTAACACTAACTTCTAGCACTAATAAGGATGTTGAAGCAATAGCTTGAGCTCGCAGCTTCACACATTAACAGCATAGGTTAACCTGCTCAGATTTTAGTCTTTATCCTCGAACTGAAGCTGGACTGCATCTGTCCTGTTAAGCTGTAGCACGCTAAGCTACTGCAGTAGAATGCTACCTGCTAGTAGAACGGCTCTAAACATCACATTTTACAGTTTATTAGGTCGATGTTGAAGATAAATATGACACTGTCATGATTGTTAACACCAATATCATTTGTCTATTTTAAGATCTTACTGCACAGTCCAAACATTTCAAACAAGTAAGCTACATTAGCACAGGCATGTTTTTTACGTTAGCACAGACGTGTTCTGTGGTTTTTGCTGCCTTCAAGTCCTCCTCGGAAGTTCCTGCTTACGACTTCGGATGTTAAGCATGACTTGATTTGTGTTCGAGTGGTTTTGGTGGGAAAAAAAGTGGAAATTATTTTTTTGGTTTACTTTTATTTTTCTGTTATTAAAGAGAGTCTTTGTATATACATGTACTTCCATGTGTGGATGGTTTCAGCCTGCAGTGTTAATGTTGTGGCTGATGAATAACTGAAATACGGCCAGTTTATCAGCTGCTGTCTTTGTTTTTTTGTTGACACACCCCCAACTCGGAAACTCTGGGCTCAATAAAAAATCAGTTTCCCACTAGTAAATACGACATTGTGGTGCCATTTATGTGCATCCATCTTGTAAATACGATATTTCCGACACAACTTGAAGGCAGCATTTGAACAAGTTTCAGTTCGCAACATAATAATCCTGTCATTAGCATATTTTAGTATATTGGACTGTGAAAGATTCGAGCTCATTTGAACATTTGTACACTAAACTGCTACTTTGCACCCCACAAATCACTTTTTTTTTCCAAATGTACTGAGAAAACCTGTGAATTCAGTAGAAAGATGTGATCTCTACATTATGGTAACACGTATGACATAAATTTCAGAGGAGACCGACCCACAAGCTCTCTATTTGGCAAAGTGTCACCTCTTTAGCCTGCACTGTACAAAATTAAGTCATGTCAAAATTTCGCATAGCTTTGTGAAGTTTCATAATTTTGTAGCCAAAAATATTTTTTTTTAGTACTGCATCTCAATTAAGTCGACAAAACCGTTCAAGATTAAGCTAATTAAAAAAACAACGGTCACTGTAGTTATTTATTTTTAATTTTTTTTTTTGGAGTAAGTTCAAACAAAATATGTAGGTTAGGAGACGCTTTGACTAAACTAGAAAAAAGTCGAACTGATCTTTCGTTGGATAACTGGGCACCACAATGTTATAAATGATCCCGATTAACCACTTAAATCCCAGTCTTATTACATACTAAAGCTTACTAATCAGTGGGCCCTGGACATTTAAGAGGTTAATCTAGAGGTCTATTTAGCTTCTCTTTTGGTGAAAATACACCAATAGACAATAAAACTCCTTTATAGAAATCACTTGTTTAACCATCCTTATCCTAATCCAGCATTTCCCAACTCCAGCCATAGAGACTACCATGCCTTGCACAGTTTATGTTTTTCTTGCTCTAAGGGCCCTATCACACCAAGCTGGTTTCTGCCTACAGCAGCTTAGCCCTGACCATTCAGCCTACAGCAGTTTAGCCCCACCCATTCAGCCAACAGCAGGTCAGCCCCAACCATTCAGCCTACATCAGTCCTACCTATTCATGCAGTAGTTATAAGCAGTGTTTCCACCTGGACTGTTTTGAATGAGGCACAATACAGGCTAACTTACATACATCAGTTGTAAAGGCACAGTAACACAAACAGCATGGAGGAACGTGTGGGTTATGGGCCCTTTAAGCTTGAAGAACTGTTTGGGAATCTATTCTTCCTACAGGCTTGCATTCTAGATTGGAGTTGGGAAACACTTCCCTTCTTACTTCACAGTCCATGTTTCAAAAATTGCAAATCAACATTTTTAATAATACAAAGTGAAAAATGTCACAAGGTGATACTTCTGTAATCCGTGATATGAAACGAGTTTTTGATAACGTGTAAGGAATGAAGCATGAGTTGCCTTTTGCTACATTAAAGGGCAGAAAATCAATGATTAGACAAAAAGGGCCCCTTAAGTGCATTTACTTTGTCCTTTTTGTCCCATTTGTACTTCAAGCCTGTATTGGCTTCTCATGTAAAATTAGTTAAAACTGTAAATGACTCTGCTTGTGTTTTGCAACTTAAGCGATAAGATGTTATGTATTGATTTAATATACCTGGTTGTTTTAGCTCTGTGGTTGTACTGCTAGCTCTGTATGGTAATTCCCTGGCTGTGTCTGTATCTGGGTGTGTTGTCTTGTGTTTCCCTCTAGGCAAAAGTAGACAATGAGATCCTTGATTACAGGGATCTAGCTGCCATTCCCAAAGTCAAAGCCATTTATGACATTGAGCGTCCAGATCTTATCAACTACGAGCCACTTTACACCACTTCCCTTGATGAGTCTCTTGAGGAGAGAGAGAGTGTGGGAGAGGTAAAGCTCCAATATCCCACTGTGGGTTTTTGTGTGTGGAAATGTGCATGAAAGTGTTGTATATGTGAATACACTCCCTGTCAAAAGTGTGTAGACATATTAAAATGTTTTTTTACTAAATGAGCATCACTATCAGTTTGCAATAACTCAGCATATTAAAGGCAATCTGAGATCAACATTGCGCCTTGCTAGTTCATCATATTAAGCACAGTTTGTCATATCAGTATATAACTATTTAAACGATAAAATTCTTGTTTTTGAAAATTCTTGAGTTTTGATTACATCACTGTGCAGAAGTAGGTGGAGAAAAATAATATTAACCAATAAAATCATGTTTCACTTCCCCTGTCAACACCCCCACCTATCATTGCCTTAGGAATGCGTCACGGTATGGAAGGAAAATGCGTTCGAATTGACTTTAAATAGAAAGCTGTAGATTTTTCTTTGCAAAAACTACCAAACTGAGAAGAAGCACAAAAGTCCTACATTGGAAGTAATATCAAAATATCAGACCTTTCAGGTGTTTAAACCACCTGTGTGTGCTATTAAAAGTAGTTTGGAAAAGAAAGCTCTCAAATCATTATTCAGAAAACTGTCATTATTTATTTCATGATAAATTATGTCACAATACAATATGATATGCTTTTCTGAACATACTGTGGCTATCATCAGTACAGAACACTAACCAACTGCATGTTTTTCTTATAAAAAGAGCAAAATTAGTTCCATTTAACTGGATTTATTGCCAAATGCTAAATAAAAATCACTGTGTTTACAGTTTCTGATACAATTTATTTTTTTTTTTAAATGTAGCACTGTTGGTTCTTTTTTCTCTATTCCCAAATGATCAGATGACTGAAAAAACAAATACTGTGAAACTTTCTTGGAGTTTTGTGATGATTGAAGCTGAGTGTCTATACCTACATTTAGCAAATAGCTGTTTTATGTGAGTATACTAAAGGGAACAGTGATTATTTCAAAAGAAGGCAGTGTGTCCCCAAACTTTTGACTGTATGGGAGTGTTTATGAGGGTGCGAGAGTGTGTATGAGAAATAGCTAAAAGATTTCAATGGATTTCTGAAGTCGTGTCATCATGTTATAGTGGTAGATGTGCCTGAGCCATTTTTCTTTATGGGAAAAATGAATGTCTTTTCAAAAATCTCCTATTTTTCTCTGTGATACAAATGTTCAAAAGTTCACTTGTATTTCCTCTGTACATTTTTCATCAGAATATCACCAAATCCTCTGATTTATGAGGTCATTAGGTAGTCAGAATATGAACATTGCTACATGCAAGCTGACACTGCTGAACATTTAATTTACATCACAAGCTGGCAACCAAAATACCCCACGGAAGCTTTACCATGTGGTGGTTAAGTTGCTTTGGCAGTAGTAGACAGTGATCATCAGATTTTACAGAATGAAGTTGAATTAGACTTACTTTAATCATTTCAATGTGCAGCTTGTTTGTTTTTGGCGATATTCATATTTCATATTTCAGCTGCTTAACGACCTTGTAATCCAGTTACTTTCAGGAGAAAAGTGTATACAGGACAAATCATATATAGCCATGCCATCCACTACAAAATGACACACGACTTCGAAATCTATAGCATGTCATAAACAACACCCCCGCCCCACCCCTGAATTTAATGTAAGTATATCACGCAGTATAGAAGCAGTGCTGAAACTCCAGCAATGGTCCACACAAGCCAGCTAAGTGCTGAACTGCTGCCATATTGAAGTTCACGTTGAAGGCAAAAGCTTTATTACCATGGCAACATGACCCCTCTTTGTTAACAGCTTCAGATGTCAAGGCGAGAACGCTCCCCCATGCCAGACGACAGAGTAAGTCACGCCCCTGTGTACAAATAGGCCTTAAAGGTTAAAGGGCATGTGTCTATACGGCCTAGACACATGGCCTTTAGCCTTTCACCTAGGGCTGCACAATATATCCTTCCTTTTTCATTGTCACCACATCAGCCTTCGCAATACTGATGTTGCAGTGGTGTGCGATATGTAAATGAGCCTTCAGTCACTGGATGTTTTATTTTGAGTATCGTGACCAATCACAGATGAGGTTTGGGATGAATCAAGGCTTTCAACCAATGAGCTCGATAAACATAAATCATTTTACAAATGAACATTGAAAAATAATGCTGGTCAGTTGTACAGATCACATGAAGGGTTCATTGATGTACTGGAAGGTACACTATATGTCCAAAAGCATCCATTCATTCAATTCAAGGTGCACCCACTGCTATTAAAATGTTCAATTGGACGTACCCAACTAGTATAATCTCCATAGAAAAGCATTGACCAATAGAATGGAGCAGCTGCACATGAGCTTTAGGTCACTATGCCCACTGTGTAGTCTAGAGGGGTATAAAGCCTCCACGCATTGGACTGTGTTCTCTGGAGTGTTGTAGCTCTATCCAAATACCTTTGGGTTTGGTTTGAGTGGCGTGTGTGATCCACAACAGTCATCCAACATCAGAACCTCACCTCATTAATACTCTTGTGGCTGCATGCAGTCAGATTCTCACAGCAATGCTCCAACATCTAGTGTAAAGCCTTTCTAGCAGATAAATTACTGCAGCAAAAGAGGGACAGTCTCCTTTTTGGCCTGTTTATTGTTCACAGTTTTTTTCACTATTGCTATCTTGATTTTGATACCAATTTCTAAATGATAGCTTTTTAGATTCCTTCTTTCAAATTGCCAATCAAAAGTGGCCATGGATTAAATTAGAAATGAGTCTGAGGTGCTGAAAGTGATGGTATTTTTGGGACTAATCACCCAGCTCTGATGTTAGTAACATCTATGTGCAATGCAATTTAGACAGCCAGTCATCAGTCTAGATTGAAACTTTGTGTTTTTTGATACCATGAAAGTATTACATTTAAATACTCTCTCCTACTTCCTGTTAATACTCTTGGAAAAAAAAACATGATTAGCAGGAGTCTTTTGGATATTTGGTGTATCTCGCAGTCACAATAAGCCACAGTATAACTGCAAAATGGTATTTTGGCCATATAGTCATAGGAAACCCTAAGAATACTGAACCTTAACACACCTTTTAGCACACCCTTTCCATTTCTAGAGTGAATTAGCTTCATTTTGGAATTTCAAATATCAAATTTCAAAACCCAAATATATATATATATATATTTAAATATCTCAATATTTCAAATATCTCAATATTTCAAATATCTCAGTATTTCAAATATCGCAATGTGCCTTTTTCTTCAATATTCCAATATCGTTCAGCCCTACATTCACCTCACAACTCATAAGACGCTCCATCTGATCTTTCACCAGTCACGGTCACTCTCACTGTAGGGTCACTTTGTTCCATCTCTGTATGTGAGTGCACAGGCTGAGTGGGTGGGGTGTGCACGTGCATGAGTGTGAATGTAGGCCTTTGTGTTAAAACGTTTATATGTGAGTGTAAATTTCTTTTCTGCTCCTCTGTGCTTTCATAGCATCTAACAACAGCTCCATCTCCAGTCCACCATTTAATCAGCACTTCCAGGCTTTAATGCAGTTAAACGTGATGGCTTAGAGTCAAACGAACACCTGTAGCTTATGTTTGAGATCTCTGAAAATTCTTTGGTCTCAGCTGTGATTAACGCCTAAATTTGTTTTTTATTTTTATTCTTTCAGACACCAAGAACCATGTCACCAACTCCATCTGCAGATGTAAGTGCAGTTTGATCTTTATGGATTGAGTTCATTAAGCATAATTAAAGGGAAACTCCACTGATTTTACAAAATTAATTAAAAAATGCATAATTTAATTGTTGAGATGTAAACACAGTCATTCAGAGTGGTTTGGTGTGAAATGCGCCATTCTGGAGTAACTTACTGAGTCAGAATTGTTCACAGTGGTGGTGAATGGAACCAGACGTTCAAAGTATTTAAAAGCTCCCTCATAGAAAGTTATTACATGAAATGGTTATGAACACACTATGTGACACTGTTTATGATAGTTTTTAAAGGGAACAGTGCATGAGTTGTATTATGCAGAAATAAAAATAAATCAATTACAAATTTCCTTTAACTTAATAACCATATAAGCTTAATAAGTTGCTGTTGTTGTTGTTTTTTATTTGTTTGCTTACTTACTTTATTACATATGCATACATTTCTGTAATACTTCATAGTTTCTTTTAAAACAAAATGAATGTATATATGTGTAATTGATAAGGTAAAAAGTATATCTGGCACTATTCAGTGCTGTTTATATGAAATAAAAAATTCAGTTTGCTTTTGTTATTTTAGTAAATTGTGATGCAGCAGGTTTGTGCTAAAAGAATTTATTGAGTCTGTTTTGTAATGGGCTACATCTGTGCGTTAAAATATCACTTCTGAGAGAAATGTTTTTTTTTTTTTTCAGAGTTATTACGACATGAGGGGGCACATCCTCCAGAGGTCTACAAGCCAAGGCTCCATTGGATCACCCATCTACAGTCGCCATAGTTACACACCAACAATGTCACGCTCACCACAGCACTTTCACAGGCCAGGTGAGACACTATGGCGCCTTCTTTTACCCAAACAGCAGGTTCAGCTTGCTATTTCCCCTGGAGTAGGCCTGGGTGATAAAACAGCGCTGATTAAAATGATCTAAAATTACCATGCTATTCAAACCAGACTGACAGTTAGTGGGGTTGAAGTACAATTCCATCCATTTTTCATAATTTCTGCATAGTTCAGTAGCTGAGATGTAAACAAAGTCATTCAGAGTGGTTTGATGTAAAATGGTTTATTGGGAAACTTCCTGACTCAGATTGTCTTTACCGTGGTGGTGATAGGAACCAGGGGTTACAATGTCTACAACTCAAACATGACCAGTGAACCTACAGTTTTTATGTGCTGATAATGGAAAATCTGAAAAAAAAAATGTTTTCGTTATGTACTAGTTTGATTTACAACATCCTGTACCTTTTTGCAATGACCGCATTTTTAGCAAAATGTTTTAGGGCAAAAGCTTATCTATTGTAAAACAATGTCACAGACATCAAGCAGGATTTGTAACTATTTCCTGTAATAACTTTCTGTGAGGGAGCTTTTGGAGGCATTAAACTCTTCAGACTTCTGGGTTCCTATCGCCACCACTGTGAACAATTCTGACTTGTTAGGTTTCTCCAGAACTCATTTCATATACAGTCACATGAAAAGTTGAAACACCCCTGGTTTAATTACGTTTTGTTGAGTTTCTAAGCGCAAATAAGTTAACACATCGTCTACAGGAAAGAAACTTTTTTTGCTAATTTTAGGGCATGATTTCTGTTTATCAAGTTGAAAATATGAAAAATGTCATGACTTTTGGACAGGCTCCATTATGTTTGTTATTTTTCCCCAATATTCAAAATTCAGTAAATAAACAGTAATTGTGCATTAAAATGTGCGGAAAAAACATGTAATTTGTTCAGGAACACATTTCACGTGTCTCATATTAAAATAGTTTACATATAGCTGGCTGTTTTATACATTACACTAGAATAAACCTTTTGTTCAAAACACTGTTCAGATTGAAAAATGTACCTTTAGAACACATTAATAATTATCATTATTGAATTATATGCAAAAACAAATATTGATTTTTGGCCATATCGCCCAGCCCTACCATAAAGCACTTTGCCTTCAACTAAATTTTCTTCCATATCATACCTTGCTGACATTTCACCCTCCATTAGACAATTCTCTTCAGTTTGAAAAGCTCCATTACGTCCTTTAATTTAATAAGAGCAGCAGTTAAAATCATAAGCGCAGGCTCTGCTCCTACCGGCCACCAGGTTATATTCTTTCACTTGCATTGGCAACAGCATCTCTCTATCAATGTACATACAGCTCCAGCCTTAATGTCGACCTTTCATCCTCGTTGACTTTTGGCCTTGGTTGTTTTTGATTCGAGGCACTGAGCCGTCCAGTGGCCGGAGCTCCCCTGGGGCCAGCTCTTCTTCTGTCCCCCCGACCCCTAAACATTTCCATCTGCCAGGTACTGAGGGAGCCTCCCTGCTCCTCCTGTCCCAACTGTCCACGTCAGCATGCCACTCTCTTTTTCCAAGCCCTGGCGTTCTTCTCCATATTAAAATGTTCATGTGTCTATTAAAGCTGTTAATGAGGACTGCAGAAACAGCACAGTGCCTGTCCCAGTGTTCGTTTTCAATTTAAAGTCATGGTTCAGCCAAAACTTTTTCCCTTCATCTAGATGTAACCACTCAGCCAAGACATGTCTATTGTCTGAAGCTAACAAGTCATATAAGCTTAGCCAGCACTGAGCAAACTGCATGCATATGCCATCATATTCTTGCCTAAAATCACATTAAGTTGTAATTTCAAACTGGCTTGATTATGTAGTTCCTGACACTTTGAGTTGTTATAAAAATAAACAAAAGTACAGACAAAATTCAGGCCTTAAGATGGTTTCTACTACTGTTTTTAGCTACACTCTTAAAAAGATGATTCTTTAGAGGTTCTTTAGTAAAGAAATGGTGTTTAAATGGTGACAAGGTTCTTCAGGATAAAGGAGAATGTGTTATGTATGGTTGTAAACAGAACCTTTTTGAAAATGGTTTTATACAGCACCAAAAATTTTCATCTATTGTTGATAATGTAGCAATAGCAGAACCATTTTCAAAAAGGTTTTTATAGAACCATTTACAACACATTTTACATCAATCTGAATAACAATTTCACCATACAGAGAACCATTTAAGTATGCAAATAGTTCTTTGAGTGTTCATGGTTCTATATTGAGCCATTGTCTTTACTAAAGAACACCTAAAAAGCTTTTTTATGCAACATACTTTCATATTTGTCATTATTTATATTTATTTAAACATTGTTTAGTTGTGCAGTTTACACAGTGCTAACTGGTGGCTGTAGTCCACCAAGGACGCCGCCAAGGAAGTTGCCGAGAATGTGACTAAAAAGGCAGAGATAGTGCAGCTGTCTGACTAGGCTAATTAGGCTAAAGCTGACGTTAGCTCAGTGCAATAACAGTGAATATATACTTCTCTGACAAGCTCTCATTTTGGCACATTGTCCACTGAGGAGAAAAGGCCTCGTAGAAAACCCTGTCCCCATCAGCATTTAACGTTGCACCAGTTAGCTGTAGTGTTAGCTCATTAACTCATCTGAAGAGGCAGCATCTGCTGGTCATTCAGCTCAAAAACCTACTCATTTCTCTTGGCTTTACTGAATAATAAAGCATGTTTTTAGATTTTAGCCTCCTTACTCTGGCACTGTCATCTAAAAAAAAAAGCCAATTTCTTGCCAAAATCTATTTTTCCCCTTTTGCTGTTGTTTAACCACGTATCCATTGATTGACTCTTACGAATAGAATTTCAAAATAAGTCAGAATGCACATCCTCATCCGTTACTTGCTAGCTACTTTAGCCTCAGAGCTTCAGCACAAAACTAAAAATGTCTTACCTGATCAACGACCTTCGGAAGGGTGGATTTTTAGCTAAACCATCACTTTAAAAGCAGAGATTATGATGTGTCTCTGTGCTGGCCTACTTACTGCAGTCGTTTCTGGTGATGGCTTTAATATCTTATGTATGTCTTCTCTTTGGTTGCTGCTTCTTCATATTTTTGTTTCTGTCTGTCAGTCAGTCCCTCACTTTCCATACACCAGCAGAAAATAAGACTAAACCTCACCTTTGTTCATTTTTACATGTCACACAGAAACAGTCATGACATCTGTCAGCGTTTCCCAAGGGTTTTGACTTCAGTGTCTTCTGTGCTACATTTGATTGATGTATTCATGGACATGTCGGTTTAGTCTTCTTGTAAGCTTTGGAACTCAGTGAATTCGTCCTGGTCTTGTAATCTTTTTGGGTAGTTTTGCTCTGATTCACAGGACATTTTTGACTTTTCAACAAGAGCTGATTGAGGAGAAAATGTTGTCTATTTCGTGATCACCAGTGCTGTTTTCACATTATAATAATTATATATTACTGTCCAACCTATTTTGTTCAGAGGCTTATGTCTAAGTTTATTCTATTTTTTCTTAGTTTTTGTATTTTTAAATAAAGGATCTTTTTTATCTTGTACATATTTTAATATATGATCAATTTTATCCTATTTTTTAACTATATGATTTTTTTCTAATACAGGATAATATCATTCCAAGTTATTTAGAACAACCAAAGACCATATTGTCTCTCTCTTTCAGATCAAAGTGAGAACATCTACAGGAAGCCCCCCATCTACAAACAGCACGGTAGGGACAGATCAGTTTAAAATGTGCAAAAATGTGAAAAGACCATAGTATTACGAAAAGCAAAGAATGTTTTTGGCTCATAGTGGCTTAAAAGAGATTCCCACCTTTTTTTTTTAATTTCTACGTAATTCAGCCACTGAGATCTAAACAAAGCTTCCAGAGTGGTTTGATGTGAAATGGTTAATTTCAGAGAAACTTACAGACTCAGATTTCATGCAGTAGAGGTGATAGGAACCTGGGTTGGGATGTCAGCAACACAAATATAGCCATTTTATTTACTCTCCAAAACCTGCATGCATGTGTCTTTTGGTGTTCATATGTTGAAATCTGTTTTGCCAGACAGGATCCTACATGTACCCCAACAACATAAATGTGTTAAAAAAATAAGTTTTGGGTCAAACCTTTACTGGATAACAACCATAGAATGATGTCTCAGACATCAGACAATGTACTTGTAACTATTTCTGTGAGGGAGGCATTAAACTCTTCAGACGTCTGGTTCCTATCACCACCACTGTAAACAATTCTGACTTTAGAATGGAGTATTTCACACCAAACCACTCTGAATGACTTTTGTTACATTTTAATGATATAAGTATGCAGAAATTTGGAAAAATCTATCAAATTTCACTTTAATCCTTAAATGCTTATGAGGACAACATTTTTCAGTAAAACATGACTAAATGATGTTGTTTGTGTTATTTGTGTTTCTCAACCAACAGTTTTCTAATTTCTGTGTAATTCAGTCACTGTGATGTAAAGAAAGTCATTCAGAGCGGTTTGATGTGAAATGCTTCATTGTATAGAAACTTAGAGACTCAGATTTCTTTAGTGGTGGTGACAGGAACCAGGGGTCGCAATATCTACAGCACAAATATATCTATTCTGTTTATCCCAAACAACCAGTGAATTTACACATTACACATTTTACACATTTTAAAAATATTTTAGGCTGAAACCTTCTCAAAATTATTCTAAAGCAATGCCTCAGGCAGCGTATTCATAACCATTTATGTAATAGCTTTCTATGAGGGAGCGTTTAGAGTCAGCAAACTCTTCAGACGTCTGGTTCCTATCACCACCACTGTGAACAATTCTGACTTGAGAACGACACGTTTCACATCAAACATGCTTAATGTCTTTGTTAATGTCTTAACCATTTAATTATGTTGGAATTTTTGAAACATCTGTGAAATTCCCCTTTAACTTGACTAATAATCAATATTAGAATGTCAAAAGTTTGGACACAGCTGACTGAATGTGTGTATTACATTTAGACCTGAAAGCTTATGCTTAAATGTTAAACTGAGGTTATACATATGAATTTATGCTCAAATATAACATTGAAGGGTTTCTTTAGCAGCCAAAAAGTGCTCAGCATGTGTGGAATTACTTCAGTCCTGTTGGGGAGGCATCTCAGGTACCTCATGAAGCTGCTTGAGAGAATGCTAAAAGTGTCCAAAAGCTGCATCAATGCAAAGGGGGCTACTAAAGAATCCAACATATCTTCACTATTACTTTACAGTAGCTTTACTATTTTGGTATCTTCACTGTTATTCTAATACGTAAATAAAAACAGAAATGCATAAGCAGATGTGTAGATGTGTCCTAAGTTTTGGCTGGTGCTGTGTGTCTTTGTGTAGCTGTGATGAAGGCTATTCATGCTGGTAAATCAAGAGGCAAAAAACTGCAGCTGCAGGATTTGTATTCAGCTCTTGTGTATCTCTTACAGTAATGCACAGGCAAAAATAACCATCATCATAAAAATAATACTAAATCATACTAATCATTTTCAGACCTGCTGTAGTGTTTTACCTCTTGATGTTGTGTGTTTCATTTTACCATCCCTTTGCATCTGTTTGTTTTTGTTGCGAAGTCTGTCATAAATGGCTGTCTACTCCATCACCATTTACAGTGGTGTGCAAAAAATTTGTACCCATAGTCAAAATTATTTTACATAATTTTAGTACACAATTTCTTTTTATGTACTGAAGAAGAAAAAGAAAAAACCAGGGGTGCCGAAACCTTTGCACACGACTCTATCAATGTACCATTTAACTTCATTATCGCTTCACTGTATGACAGTGATTTCCATGCATTACTTAGTCAATTTCAAGAAAGTAAAACAGTTTCACGTGTATTTGATGAATAGATTTTAAGAGAATAAATATTTTAATACATATTAAAATTTTGCACATGGATGCAAATTTTCAGTCACTAAGGAGACCTTATGCTTTAATGCCCCCAAATCACTTTATAAACATTACAGCCCTTATTCTGTTGCAGATACAACAAATTGAAAAGTTGAAATATTAATACGCTGATTGATTTGATAAAGTAATATTATAAATTTGTAGTTAAATGGTCACCAAAGACTTTGCATTGAGAGAGAAGAGAACAGGCCAGGTCTTGTGCATGGCTGAATGCTGACTGATCCAGTTCGCCTACCTACACTTTACAACAGCATGCAATAAAACTGCACTAACTACACTGTGCAGCATGTTTTCAGTGTCGTAGTCAAAGTGTGAATTATTCAGTGAGGTTTGGGGGTCAGCTTTTCTCCCCACAGTGATCGCAGAGGATCTTAGCTTATTAATATAAAGGCCTGTGATTCAGTGAACTGAACTCCAATATTAATTCAATTTTCTGGGTAGAAAGATGTTAGATGTTCTAATACACTCTTGAAAAAAGTTCCTAAATGGTTCTTGGCTTAGACATATAGTTAAGTCTTTAATTGATATAGAACCTTTACATTATGCACAGTAGAGCTTCTTTAAACTTTTGGGAACCAAAATTAGGTCTTATATGTCATTGTGCCAAAAAACCCTGATGGTAACTTCACTTTTGAAGGAGTAGTTTGGCAAAAATCAAATGCACCCAATTTTCTTTAGTTTTATACTGGAGCTGTGAGTCTAACATTGCTAATAAACACTAGAAGTCAATAGTCACCCAAATCTTTTCCATAAATATATCCCCAAAATTTCTCTTAAACCACATCCAGATCTTCATCAGTTTTAAGTAGTTGTGTGGTTTAGGATACAGTACGACTTACTATGAGATATAAGAAATGAATAACACGTGAATGACGCCTTGTTTGTTTTTTATACTTCACAATATCATACTGTGTCCTAAACCACATCAAGTCTTGTTGTTCTTTGTCTCAATAAACATCTTAATGAACATCTGGAAGCAGTTTGAGCACTTCAGAGAAGTTTTGGGCATAAATTTTATGGAAAACATTTGGGTGACTATTGACTTCTATTGTTTGTTTGCAATGTTAGCTCCAGCACTAAACTAAAGAAGCAAAATTTGGTCACCAAATATGTCTTGGCTGATCTACCACATCTGGGATAAGTGGTTAGCTAGCTGGTAAGTTCACCAGGCAAAATTGGCAACCTAAACTACAAAGATCAGCAGTTATCAGACTGTCGTTCAAATTACAAGACTAAGTTGATTCACAAAAAGGTTTTTCCTTGATAATTACATTTGCCCTTTAGTCAAGCCTGAGTTAAAGGAGCATTCCGGCCTAAAACTACAATATGTTAGTCGTTATGTTATGTAACATTCTGTAGAGTTCTCACACTACACTACCCAGTATGCATTGCACAAAATAAGCACTGAACATCTCTCTAATGTAGAGGGTAATAAATAAGAATATGATATTCACCTTCCTTTGCAGTAAGGTTAGCTATCTCTTAGCCAGCTAACAGGAAAAATGTAAACATTCCAAACAGACTTCATGTATCTCCCCATAAGCGCTTAAAATCTTAATTAGGGGAATCAAGGACCCCCAAACCCTCCTGTAACTTGCACTCATGAAATTTAGGACTGGCAATACTGGTTTAGAGTAGACCTGCCCTCATCCCACTGCCACATAGGCCTTTTAACCTATGTGGCGATTATGAAACCTTGTCTGGCTTGACCTGTAGCTTAGCACTTGTTACTGTAGAGCAGTTCCCCACTTTACCAATCCAGACTCGGCTGCCTTTACAGCCCAAAGCAAGTCTGCAGATGACATCATCAAATCTGCCAAATTTCCCTCGGCGTTCGCCCCCAGTCAAGACGATGCACCTAAGATAGAGACTGACTACTGGCCATGTCCGCCTGCCAGGACCACCCTAGGTACTGTACGCCTGCGCTGGGTCGCTTTAAGCCCCACCCATCCCTCTCAGCTTGCTGCTCCTGCTTTCCTAGCCTGTTTCTGGTTCTGGTGGATCAGTGCTATGAACCTTTTGCTCTTTTTTGTTGAACTTGTTAGCCTTTCACTAGTTATGTGAACTTTAGCTACAAGCCAGATAGACCTCAAGCTCTTTATTAGCATTCTATTAATTCTGTATTCTTTAAGAAGCTGCAGAACAAAATCAACAGGCATCCTTTTGGCCCATATGGTGAAGAAATAAAGTCATTTGTAATTTGTGAGAAGTAATAAATAAAAAGCAACTTTTATATACCCAGGTCTACTTTGGTCCAGATCCAGAGTTTAAACTTGATATTTTGTCAATATTTTATTAATAATATATTACATTATATATCATTACAAAAGCAACCCAGGCAAAAAAAGTAGCACACCAAATTTAATTCAATCAAATTTGTGCATCTTTTCCACATAAATAAAATCTATTACTTCAAGATAATTATTAAAGTAAGTGATAGGCACAGATGCAGGATACTTGCTCGAGTTGAAAACAATGAATATATAGATAAAATAAGCAAAACGAGTATTGTCACACTCATATACAAGTGTCTATACATACACTGTTAGAAATAAAGGTTCCGTGCAGGTAGTTTTAAGGTCCACCTGTGTACATTTAATGAGTTTTTCCCAGGTGAAAGTACATATTAGTACCTTTTCATGACCTGTTGTTTTAAAAGAGAACAATACGATAAGAAGCCGAGACGAGACGGCTGTGTGGAGTCAATACAACTTAGAAAATGTAACTTCACTGTACCCTTGGGGTGTCCCCCTCAGTGAGAAGAGGGGTACTGCCCCAGTGACAGTTTCGTACCTTTATTTCTTAAATGTATAAGCCACTTGACTCCTTCTCATATTTAATGCCAGTGGCACAAGGATTAATCATAGTTTGAGCATGTATCTAGACTTGCGTTGACAGAGAAAATTGTCAGGATATCTGTCTAGGTTGAACATGCTTTGTAAGTCAGACCACAGACAAGGAACAAAGGAAGAGCTACACGTACATAGAGACTGAATAAGACATTAAGGGACTGTCGTAAGTGGACAGTTAGATGTAGTGATTTACCCCTGGCACTGCCATGTGTCTCAAATGTGTCCCCAGTGATTGGATTTCACGACTGGTGGAATGGTACTACCCACATTTACTAAATATCACTGTGTTTGTTGTCAGACAAAAATATACCAGAAGTCCATTTTCATGTAAATGAAAGGACTGTTACAAATGTTTAGACCACATGAACCGCTTGCGACTCGTAAACAGATGGTCGAGGAGATCACTCAAACCTCCGAAGGTGGTTTGAGTGATCTCCAAGACTCATTGTACCCTTTTCACACCTTTAGTTAGCATTGTCCATGTATGATCGGATTACCCAGGATTCATGTTAAGTGTACATTGCCTTAGACATCACTTGAGAAGTGAGATTTCTCAAGGAAGGGTTACAAACAAAACACTGGTGACTGTGATAGGAAGGGGGCAGGGCTAGGGCCAAATGGAGACACAAGAAGGGTGGAGACAGAGGGGCAGAGCCAGACCAAGGAAACCATGACGAATAAACTGAACAGCAAAACTAGGGTGATGCCATGTATTTTATTCACGTGGAAAATGATGTACAGGTTTGAAATAAATACATTCAGTGCATCACTTTTTTCCAGTATTCTGAAATGACAGTTACAGAGTAAATACGTGAGATTTAAGATGGTGCTCACTTAAAACGTAAATTCTAATTGTAACAGTTTTCAAAATACTTCAATAGAACAACATTTATGCCAATTACTGTGAAAGACATTACTGCACTGCTAGCTACAGCAGCTTTAGAACACTTTGTTAAACCATCCATTGTCCTCTTATGTTTTGCTGTCTGCCAGGCTGCTTTATTGCTCACCTGTGGTGTCTTCATTCGTTCTTCATTCTGATGGTGCTCTTGTAGTCTTGTGTTCTAGCTTCTGTGAGATCATTAAGCATAATGAAAAAGTGAGCGTGTATGGCCTGTGCATAATTACTTCAGGGTCCGATGGAAGGAGGAGGTCAAGAGAGGAAGATGAGGAGGAACTTCAGAAAGCGAAGACAACTCCAAGAAGAGCATCTCACCAAAGTAACAGCACATACTAACAGAGAAACATTCAAAGCTTGAAAGAAAAAAGATTAATTTCCATATTTTTTTACCACTAAATGTATCAATTGATCAGCGACGACATGTTTTGGTCTGAAGTTTGTTTCTTCAGTTTTGCACTAGTGCTGTGAGGCTGATGTAGCTAAGTAATGGAGGCCACAAATTAGCATTGTGCAAACTATATCACACTTGCCTCAAATCATGTTGAGTTGTTTAGACGTGCTTATATGGTTTCTCACACTGTATGGACTAAAGTTTGCATAGCCAACATGTTGCATAGCCAACATGAATCTTTTGTGTACTTGTGATAATCTTTATACGTAAAGATTAAAGAAAATATTAACAAATTAAAAAAACAAATGATGATAGAAGTGTCCCCTACATTTGAGCACTATACATCATTGTGATTACAGATGCAGTCTGGCCTCGGAAAGCTCATCTTGAAGGAGGAGAAGGAGAAGCAGCTGATCCGAGAGCGTCATGCACGGAGTCTGTCTGCACAACGGCACGCAAGCGCAGGTGCTCACCAGCTCACTGCCCTCACGCCCAAACAACAGAGTTTGCATTATCTTTACCAGTGCCACACATTCACTTTCCTACACTGGGTTTAATTCTGTTTATGGCAGGTCAGACTAAATCACGGATGTTTGAAGTATTTATGACATTCGAATAACATTTCCTTATTTTCTATGTTGCAGTTCTACAGTGAAACATTCAGTAACTACTTCAGTTCAAAGCCTAATGTTTAATGTTAACATCAGCAGACTTGATGAGGCCTAGTTCTCACTGTTAAGAAAATACAGTACTGTGCACAAGTCAGAGACCACCTTTCCAGGCATTTATTTCCAATCAAAACAGCAATTAAGTACAATTTACAGTTTCCAACACTGAAGTTAAAATAAATGATCAAAAACTACATAGGAATTGGGACTCCTAACAACCATGCAATACCTGCTAGCCCACCAAAACTGCCCCCCTCAGATAAACAGCACTTAAAGCATTCATTTTGGAGAGAGGAGAAAATCAAGCTCCACTTTTGCTTCAGCTCTGGAAAAATCCACTGTCCATCCTTCCACTGTGAGAAGACAACTCAGTGCTATACTGTCAGAAAAAAAGGGTACTATTCAGATAACAGTGTAAATGTTACCTCAAAGGCACAAAATGATCCTAACAAATAGACAAAAAAAGAAGCTAATGGTGTCCTCAAATAATGGATTGACCATACCAAAGTCCAGATCTGGACATCATTGAATGTGTTTCTGATTTCTTTGAAATATCCCTGAAGATTTCTTTGAAAAAACTGAAAGTGAGTCTCCTGAAAAGAATGTAAGCTGTAATAAAGGCAAACACTGGACACACGAAATACTGAAAAACTGATTTTATATTTAATTGTTGAGGCTTCTGTGTTAAATAGGTATTTTCTGCTTCTATTGATGCTGGAATATGAATAACTTGTACTTAATGGCGGTTTTGACTGGAAATGAAATAAATGAAGGGTTTCTGACTTTTGCTCAGTGCTATATGTTTGAACAAAACCAAGTTCTTATGTAAGCACTGTTTATTACTGTTGGGCTATTTACTTCATAAACACAATGATACCTGCTCCCATCTATCAGTGTGCTCAGTGGCTTATGCACGAAACATAACTGTGCATTAGTACAGAATTTATTTATTGTGAAGTGTTCATAGATGTGTGCATATTGATTATTCTACAATAGCTTAGACTCAGCCAATCTGGAACTGTCCTTTATTATATCTCCTCTTCTGCTTACAAGCACAAAAATCTAAAAGTTTAGAATCTGCACTTTCAGCATAATTTCTCTTCATTTTACTGAGCTGGGTGAGAAATTAATACTACAAATTTACAGCATGTTTTGCTATCACAGTGTGCTTTTGTCAAATCCTAGGGTCAATTGACTTTCATACATATGAAGTGGTTCATATTTTTGTGTGGCTTTAGCATGGTGGCCAAAACTCTGCCAAACATTAAAAAAAATACAGAAGGTGCTGCAGCCTTTCTCCCAAACCTGCGATGACTTGTTCCCTAATATGTACATGTTCTTGAAATTGCAGATCCAAACTCTCCTTCCAAAACAGGCTCCCTACCTGGATATGGGCGAAATGGTCTACATCGGGTGAGCTAGACAAGCAATCTTGTTACTTACACAAAGAATAGTTATACATAAAAGCAGTGTTTCTGTTGCATAGTGACAGCTTTTTGCAGGGAAAATCTTGCGTTTTACTTTTCCATAGTCTGTATTGCCTAATCCATTCTATTCGTTTGGTTTCATTCTGTTCTAGATCATTCTCTAGATCATCCTTGTTTGACAGTTCTTTCCAGATATTTTGTGAGGTAAATCAAATGAGGCATGTTGGCTACTGAATAGGTGTTGCTAAAATAACGTCCAACTCTCTGGAGTAGTGGGAAGCAATAGCCAGCACACAGAGACGAAAGGCAGCCTGATGTATACGGTCAGAACGACTTTTAAAGGCCGTGCGAGGTAGAAATACTCAAAACTTTTTTGTACTTTGTAGTACTGACCTCATAACAACGTCAGACTAAAATATACCCAAATGTAGTAAAAGTCAAGGATCAATAGAAATTGAGGTTTTGTTGTGTCAAATTGATCATGTCTCAAAATTTCATAACGGTCAAAATAACCGCCTCAGCCTTTGTAGTGTTACATATTTTTAGACTATTAGATTGTATGATTGCTTTTTTTCATTCTTTATTTTTTATGAATGGCAGGAAATATTTGACAGTTTATTGGTTAATTTAACTTTTTGCAAGTTATCAGTTTTCATTGCAACTTGTTAACTGTGAGCTAAAAAGTAAAACGTGGTTATTTTGTGGCTGTTGGGTGTGCAGTCCACTGCACTGTTTGTCTTTGCTGAACGAATGTGACTGGATGTCTTCTTTTCCTTCCCTCATTTTTTTCACAGCCTCAGTCCACTGACTTTACACAGTATAACAGTTACGTGGACGTGTGTGGCGGAATGCGAGGTCAGTCATACTGCTTGAAAGTTCACACAGTGATATTGCTCAGTGTAACTGTATATTATTATTATCCAGCGAAAACCTCACATCATCCTCCACTAGACATCAGTGAATTAATAATTAGTAGAGGTGTAAATATCTAAGCTCATGATACAACTTGACTACAATCCCTATAGATCAGTGACTAGGCTAACCATCAGGGTTGGTTGACAAGTTGGTTTTCTGTGCTACAGAAAACAACATAACACAAAAAATAACATGTTAAACTGTAGTTTTAGGCCAAAATGCCCCTTTAACATTCAGGTACAGATACAGTTGAATTACCACCTTCAGATCAATGCATCACAAAGAACTAGTGCATTTTTACACCCCTAATAATTAATAAATCTAATAAGTTGACACATTTTCAAATCTTAGAATTTATTTTGCTTACTGGGGATTTAATTTATGCTGTTTTTTTCTTGCTTGCAGAGTTTCAGGTAAGTGTCATATCACTAGATGACCATGATGTGCACTTCACCTTACATCTTACATTTTTCTGTTGCATTATCCTTTGTTTATTTCATCCAATTTTCCCCTCTACACTGCCCCTCCAGCCTCATCTGTGAATGCAGCCATTGCTACAGAACCTGCATGTTCCCTTGAAAGTTAGCCAAATGCTAATTTTCACCTTCAGACTTCTGCTAACCTTCTAATTCAGAGGATTTTTGTCATTTTTTGCTTTTCTCTCCACTCCATATGCAGACTCATTTGGCTAACGTCGTAATCACTGTCAGACTAATGTCTGTATCAACATTGTTGTTTTGGAACTATAATCATGTGGCTTACTGCTTTATATGCTAAAATGATTGACATTGACGATATATTGGATCATTAAAGTTTTACAAGACACCAGTTTTCATTGTGAATTAATGTGAAGTACGTGGTAAAAACGTGATTTTTGGGACGTTAGTCCGTTTGCACTCTCTGTGTCTTTGCTCTGTGTTCATAGCCCTTGCAGGATGGCCATCGGTCAGTCAACAGAATGGACAGGGGAGTTTCTATGCCTAATATGTTGGAACCAAAAGCAAGTATCCACCCTCTAACCATTTGTTACTGCCCTTTCTGTACACGTGGTAATAGAAAAAAAACTAACTGCCAGACACCAAATTATGTGATGGTTCTGCCTCAGAGGGAAGCAGCCATAACTTATCTCAAACCTCATTATCATAAGCAGATTGACATACTGTGATCTCACACCACTAACACTGCTTGCCATTAACAGTACAGCTCAGCAGTCAACTCAGTTCATGCACTTCAGTTACCTCAACCTTCAGTTCTTATTTTTAGCATAGCATTTGTAAAGGTAATAGCTAGCTTCACCCATACATGATCCACTGTCTTGGCAGAGGAAGTCTGTTTCTGGCTTCTTGCTGGCATGAATAGCTCACCTGCTTCATTGTACCAGCCTCCACCATGCTTTGCAGGTCAGGGTGACATAGCTGATCTACCATGTTGTTGATTAAGCATGCTAGCATCCATACTCATTGCATAAAACTGTGCTAGTTTGCCTGTAGAGTTAAAGTTACAGTGTTTTTACTTAAATGACTACTACTGCTGATAATACTACTGTTATCACTAATAAAAACACAGTTAAATTGAAGTTTCAGTAGGCTATGCTATTCTGTTACTTTCTCTTAAAGAAATAGATTGATAAAAAATCAGTTTTGCGCAATTTTTAGAAAGACAATTTTCAAGTAAAGACAAAATCCAGGCTTTGACGTCATATATAGTGTTAGAAACCATACAAGTATGTCTATTTGAGATGACTTAACGAGTCAACAACTTGGTTTTGATGCAAGTATGCAATGATTTAGCCGTGCACTTTGCAAAAGCTAATTGGTGTGGTTTAGGCTTCCATTACTCAGTAGCTACATTAGCCTTGTAGCACTAGTGGAAAACTAAGCTGACTTCAGACATCATGTCGTGGCTGTACTACACTGTGGTTAGGGGATAATTGTATCAATTCAGTTTTTGTCCAGATTAACACTTTGATTCTCATTGAACATAAAGGTTTATGACTTAATGATTATTACATCAGATTAAAAAAAATATCCTAAGCAGCATTTCAAATGGAGTAAACAGTAAAAAAAAACAACAACCTTGAACTCTCTGCTTGGCTAAGACTGAATGGGCGCTTCAAACTGGCCAGTTATCGAAAGTGGTTTAGCCATAGCAGCATAAACAACACTATGGCAGCAGACTTTTTCCCCCTTTTTTAAGCTTTTATTTTCTGGCAGAGGTCAGACTTATCACATTATAAAAGAAACATTATGTACAACCAGGAGTCTGTACATATCAGTAACTGCAGTGGTGAGCGCTGGTGATAAATGGAAGTACGAATTTGGCCGATCAGCCAAACACTGTTTGGTACTGTGTACAGTACTGTGGTGAGGTTGATAAGCAATAAATCATTAAAACAACATGAGCATTTGTCAGCCGAGGCTAGCCAACAAATAATGCAGAAAGGTATTACCTTTTACTTTAAACCAGTGATGAAAAATCTGCTCTACTTCTGATTTGAGGGATCCTTGACATCGGTAACTTCCAGTATTGTCCCGTTTAACTCAAATCCAAAAAATGCAAAGAACGAAATGGCGTAAAGCTAAAAGTTCACAGACCCTTTAACAGAAAGAGTGAAACTCCAAATAAAATCTTAAATGTCAAAGTAAACTTTGCACTTTTTCAGTACATTTATGCTGTTTACAATAAAAAAGCTAAAGTGTTAGATTTTGTTGAGATCAGTTGACTGGTGGTCTTCAGATTGTGGAATAAAGTGGGTTTACTTCACGCTATCATCTTCCATCTTCTCAGCTTTCACCCATACAGACAGAACCCTTGGTGCTGCCCTGTCCATCCACTTACCTTCTCCTATGAGTCTTCCCTCAGGCAGCCAGGGGGCGCTCATGATAAGCTAACAGACTGCACATACTGGCTCAACATAGCCGTGGTGCTCTGCTGGGGCTAGCAGAGTAATTTTCCTATCAGTACATGGTACCTAGAGTAATTCAGCTTGTTGGGGTTGAGCCTCGGTTAGAATGACACTACAGACTCTCAAACATTTGCATGGTGTGCAAATGGAATCGACACGTCCGTGACTGATAGGTGTCTCTTTTGAAGGTATATCCGTACGAAATGCTCATGGTAACCAGCCGTGGCCGCACTAAGCTGCCTAGAGACGTGGATAGAACCCGACTTGAGGTAAAAACGGTTCTGCATGTGTCTGTGTAGGAAGATGATATGACTTGCATAGTCACTTAGGACGGTATGTGCTGTAGATACCGCAGTAGTGTCAGTATACACACCTTCCAATGAGAAAAATCCTGAAATTTTCCCCTGTCATGTCCAGGTCCCGTCATGATCCATTATCATGCTGTTTTCTAGAAATGTATAAATCAGTAGGGGTGGGAGAAAAAAATGAACACAATATAGTATTGTGACATTTTAGGTTTAGAAGTAGCGCTGGTACTGAGGTTCAAGTATAGATGTTTTATTACTATTTAATTATGAATATTTTTTATGTGTATTAAAGGGAAATCCATATATATATTTTTTTATTCTGCATAGTTCAATTGTTGAAAATTTCTCAGAATGCCTTTGTTTACATAGTAAACATTTAATTATGCAGAAATTTTGAAAGATTTCCCTTTTAAGAACAGTAGACAAAGACAATACTGATAAACAAATAGGATATTAAAATCTACACTAGCCAGAAGTATGTGGGCACCTGACCTATGAGCTTGTTAGACATCCCATTGCAATTGACATGGAATTGCCGCTCCCTTTGTGACTATAACAGCCTCCACTCTTCTGGGAAGGTTTTCCACAAGATTTTGGAGTGTGTCTATGGGAATTTGTGCCCATTCAGTCTAAAGAGTATTTGTGAGGTCAGGCACTGATCTCACATTCAACATTCCAGTTCATTCCAAATGTGTTCTGTGGGGTTGAGATTAGGGCTCTGTGCAGGCCACTGGAGTTTCTACACGCCAAAACTTGAGGTCATTATGGACCTCACTTTTTGCACAGGGGCGCAGTCATGCTGGAACAGGAAAGGGTCTCCCTCAAGCATATAATTGTCTAAAATGTCTTTGTATGCTGTCGTATTAACATTACACAGGAACTAAGGGTCTGAGCCCAAACTCTGAAAAACAGCTCCAGACCATTATCCCTCCTCCACCAAACTTTACTGCTACACTCATTCCAGTATGTATCATTCTCTTGGCGTCCGCCTAACCCAGACTACAGAGAACACGTTTCCACTGCTCCAAAGTCCAGTGACAGTGTGCTTTACACCACTCCAGCTGATGCTTGGCATTTCACATAGTGATTTAGGCTTGTGTGCAGCTGCTTTAATGGCCGGTGCACACCGACGGGTCTGAGTTTTTATTGCACACTTCTATAACATAAGAATAGCTCAGCCAGTTTGCGTTGAAGTCCATGTAACAGGCCTGAGATTTTAAGGGGTTCTTGAAGCTCCTGATGCACTCCTGATTTTGGATATGCTGGCAGTTTGGTTCGGCATTCTGCAGCCCCACTCTGTGAGATTGCATGGTCTGCTGCTTCGTAGTTGAGCCGTTGTCGCTCCTAGACAATTCTGTTTCCACAATAGTAGCACTTACGGTTGACTGGGGCAAATCTAGCAGGGCAAAAATGTCACAAACTGACTTTTGGAAAAGGTGGCATTCTACTGTCAGTGTTTTTCTATGCAGACTGCATGGCTATGTGCTTGATTTTATACAGCTGTTAGTGGTGGGTGTGGCTGAAACATGTAAACTCAATAATTAGGAAGTGTCCACATACTTTTGGCCATATAGTATATGTTTGTCTTAGTCTATAAAATGGAAGCATAATAATAAACTGATAGATCATGTCATATTACAATGTATAGTATATCACCGTTGCAATAGAATCACATCATGCATTGAGTATCATGATAATAACTATCATAAGGCCTGTAGTGATTCCCACCTCTACCAATCAGTTCAAATTAGAAGTGTTGCATATATTTCTATCTCACTTTTCTGTCGCTTCCTGTCATTTTCCTTCTTAACTTTCCTCCTTTCTTTGCTTCTCCCTCTTCTACTTTGTCTGCGTCCCGTGCCCTCTCTAGCGCCACCTGGCTCCTGAGACGTTCTTTGACATCTTTGGGATGGAGATTGAAGAGTTTGACAGGTTGCCTCTGTGGAAGCGAAACGACATGAAGAAGAAAGCCAGACTCTTCTAACCGTGCTGCCGTACCTCCATAAGAGACCCCAGTACCCCCTCGCTCATCTAACGTAGCCATACAGCTCACTCGTAATACCTTTCTTTTCTCATGGCTCTCCCAAAGGAGGCAAAGGCGAAAGGACTCCATCGGTCTCCAAAACACCATGTAGATCACCACAGAACATCATGTTACACTCTTTGAAATAAAGGTGCCAAAAGGAGGTTTTGGAGCAACAGCACAAAAGAACCAAAAAGCTTAAAGAACCTCTCAGGAATCATTGCTGTAACTTCCATGCAAGTGTGAAGAAATTTAAAATGAAATGTATGTCATATCCACTCCATTCATTACATTGGAGAACTATCATTCCATTGAAAGGTTCTTTATGAAACCAAAAGTGGTTCTTCTGTGGAACTCTTTTCAGCATCTTTATTTTTAAGATTGTTCCATCCTTTTGTTTCGTTTTTTAACAGTGGCCGCCGTTGCAGATGTGCTGTTTAAAATTTACTCTACAGGCCAAAAGTATGGCAGTATACGCATAAAAGCATTGCTAACGTTGTAAATATTTTATTTTTTTCACAGACAGTAATATGTTTATAAGTACACTAAATTTCTGCAGCAATAGTGTCCAGCAGAGATGTTTACAAGTCTTTTCATGTAAATATGAGGCGAGTCTATAGTCTCTGGGGTCTTTAGTGGAGAATTTAGGCTTTCTCTCATGGTTGGCAGGTATTTTATTGTTCAAAAATAACTCCTATTAAAACACTGTTAGGTTCGACAGGGCTTCTAATAACAAGACTTTATTTTAATAAATCAGTAAATGCAGTAATGTAAAGGTAAAGAAAAAGTAGAAATGGTTGGTTAGTCTGTAGTTCTTGCAAATACACTCACCAAGCATTTTATTCTATTTTCATTTAACACCTCCTTGTTTCTACACTTATTGCCTATTTTATCAGCTCCACTTACCATAAAGATGCACTTTGTAGTTCAATTACAGACTGTAGTCCATCTGTTTCTCTGCATGCTTTGTTAGCCCCCTTTTACCCTGTTCTTCAATGGTCAGGGCCCCCACAGGACCACCACAGAGCATGTATTATTTGGGTGGTGGGTCATTCTCAGCACTGCAGTAACACTGACGTGGTGGTGGTGTGTTAGTGTGTGTTCCGCTGGAGCGAGTGGATCAGACACAGCAGTGCTGCTGGAGTTTTTAAACACTGTGTCCACTCACTGTCCACTATGACACACTCCTATCTTTTTGGTCTACTCTGTAGATGTAAAGTCACAGACAGTAGCTCATCTGTCGTTGCACAGTTTGTGTAGGTCGTCCTCTCATCCTTCATCAGTGGTTACAGGACGCTGCCCACAGGACACTGTTGGCTGGATAGTTTTTGGTTGGTGGACTATTCTCAGTCCGGCAGTGAGACTGAGGTGTTTAAAAACTCCAGCAGCACTGCTGTGTCTGATCCACTCAGACCAGCGCAACACACACTAACACACCACCACCATGTCAGCGTCACTGCAGTGCTGAGAATGATCCACTACCCAAATAAAACCTACTTGGTGGTGGTCCTGTGGGGGTCCTGGCCATTGAAGAACAGGGTGAAAGGAGACTACCAAAGCATGATGGACTACAGTCAGGCTCATTGTTTGGTCCTAATTGCATCAGTTTTATAGTGGAGTATCATAAGCCTGCTAAACCTGAGTGAGTGAGCGAGCAGTGAGTGGCAAGCAAAGTCCTAAAATAAAAGCCCTGCTTGCTTCCAGACTTTTGGCCTGTAGTGTATGTTAATGTCTCTTGTGCTTGTTTTTCCTCCCTTATGGTTCTGTTTCTTCCCTCTTCAACTCACTTCTTTGTTATTCTGCTCCTCATTCATTCTGTAATTCCATGCAGGCAGACAATATGTTACATATCATTTCTTGTCAATATTGATTGAAGTCCATACACATAAACAGTTGGGCTTGCTCTTCAGCGTGAGCTGTTACATCATACAAAGAGTTGAATGTAGATATTGTAGTGTACAGTATGTATGCTTGTATGTCTTTATGCCTGACTTTTTGAACCACTCGTGAAGTCTCTTATTCCATATTCCATTTTTTTAATCAAACCCCTGGCTTCAGTTCCTCCTGGCTCCGAGAAAAAGTTATGATTTCTTAACAGGTTTGTTTTCATTTACTTCATTGACTTTCTCTACAGACTGGTATATTAAAACCGTATACTCAACATCATAAAAGTAATACAATGTATGAACAAGCTGTATCGAACCCACACTGCCATTTATTGTTATCTATGAGTGAAATGATCGGTGAAATCATCAATAAACTGTGTGATCCTCAGCAACATTGAAGGCATGGACATGACTTACGTCCCCAACAGATATGCACAGAGTTGCCACTTTATTGGAAACACTTACCTTGTAGGTACATTTTTTGCCATTTTTTCAAAAACACCTACCATACAGGTGCTCTTTGAGGTTTACAGTTAGAGACTGTGACTCGTTGGCTGTTGCACAGTTTATCAGCCCTCCTCTTCCCAGTCCATTAACTGAAGCAGACTACTATAGATCCACCACTGTCCAGATATTATTTGGGTGGTGGCCTATTCTCAACGCCAGTGCCTGACTGCGAGGGCCTGACCACAAGGCCTGAGGTGGCCTAAACCCTTGAGACAATCCACTGCAGATATGAATAATAACTGAACAAACAGCCCTTGAATATGTATGAATGACCAAATGAAGAAATGTGCTTTATCTTCAGGCCCCTGAACCTATACTCTGCCCACTAAACTTGGCCAGTCCAGAAACCGCCCTGCTCCTCAGCCCTGCATAAATAACTATGTACACTTTTTTCATATAACCTACTTTGTATTTTGTATTATGATTATTTTAAATAATTAAAAGCTCCCTAACACCAAAACATCTGCAGAAACAAAACTGTGGAGGAAAACAGGCCAAGTTGCTGTGTAATTATGTTTGCCAATGAAGTGTGAGTGAAAATAGACAATGAAATCAGTGTGAATGAGAATAACCAAAGAAATCAAAGTGTGGCCAAAAACAAAATAAATGTGGTGTTTGGTATTCTGTCCGAGGCCCTGTGTGTGTTGGTTTTCAGCAGTGGTACAGCTTGTAGTCTAGTCTATTATTGATCTTCATAACTATTAAAGTCATATTCAAGCTGTTTTATTTCAAATATAAGTATTTTAACTTTCTATTAATATTCATTATGGGTCAAATTTGTTTATGACCTTATAAATGTTCATGACTATGATCCATCCTTGGGTGGCTTGGTAGTGTGTGGTGCTGGCAGGGGGTGTGGGGTGGTGGCAGTTCCAAGGGACCCAAAGAGACAAGGGCCACTTTTTCGCATGTGATTTAGGCTTACTGAATGATTCTTAATGGAAACACTTCATCCTTTAATTAACAATTAAAGAGTAGTTTTTATATACAGGGCCAACACCAATGCATCTTACATTCTGTCACTCCTCCAAATGTTCCTCCCACTTCCAAAATGCATCGGAAACACATTTCCTAGCCTTCAAACCAGAAACTCTGACATTAGACTATGGTGGCACCATTGTGGGACAGTTAAAGCAATACTTTTTCATTTTTACTTTTGACCAGAGTGGCCCTTTAAGACTAAGCTATATCACCCAGTTTTTCAGAGGTAGAGATGGCTTATCAAATGACTGTTTATCTGTCAATAGAAGGGAAACTTATACTGAAGTCAGTAGTGTTTTGCAGTTTTTCCCTCATAAATCAATAATGCCATTCACGATTTCTTCATTAGAATGAATCAAAGTACCCTCTGTTCCTGTGATAAACATTTTTGTGGTTCTCTTGACCACTGTAAGAAGTTTAGCTTGGAAGTGAAGTGAAGTAGAAAAAAGTCCAGTTCCACGACTGAATTTGATGATCTATAGCTGGATAAATGAGTATTGGGTTTTGAATGATGTTTATGTCCTGTACTAGTTTGTTGTTTTGCTTCAACAGCCAAGATGCAACACTTTTGAGAAGCAACAAACATTAGAATTCTGCTTACTGTACATTGGTATGAAGTCATGTTGCTTATATTCATGTTCATAGCTTGCTGCATGCTAAGTAAGAGAATTATAGAGCTACTACAAATTAAAGGGTTGGACTGTGAAAATTATGGCATGCTTTAGTGTTTTAATCTGTTGAGGGAAATAAAGTGATGCAAGGGGCCCAAAATTCCTACTGTTGCTGCATCTACAGTATATGAGAGGTGTTTCTGATAAAATGGCCAATGAGTGTAGTTACAATGGAAGTGTTTCAAATGAACTGGCATCTCACTTTATATCAGCTCGTCGTGCAAATCGAAGCTCAAACACTGAATGTTTATGAGGATTTTTCTACTGAGTGCTCAAAAGGACCAAATCAACCACTCATTCATTATCGTCCATCAAAGTCAGTGCAGCCTTTACTCTAGAATTGGATCAAAGACAGGTCAAGAAATGCCTCTCTCTCTCTCTCTCTCTCTCTCTCTCTCTATCTCTCTCATCCATTTAAACCCATAAACATTGCAGATGTGTTGTTAAAACATTCAAACTATGAAATAATTTGCCGCATTCTCTCATGTTTAATGGATTCAAAAAGGACACAGCCCAACTGCTATAAGATACGCACACTGATTTCAGTTGGTTATGACTGATTTCATCTCTAAAAAGCAGGGATCTGAGTTTTGACAAACTACCACGCCCCATCTTTGTCTTTCAAATGAAATATTTTAATGATGTAAGAAGCTTCTGGATAATAAAAAGCAGCAATTCAGACACATTTCTGTCCCTTTCTCTGATTTTGCATGAAAAAGGCACCACTACACTATAAAGAAACAGCAAGAAACACAAAACCGATGGAAGACTTGGCAAAAGTGCTACCTTGGGAATCATGCAAAAGCCTGCACATTTTATTTCTTTACAGTCAGTTCAAACTGGATGTGTTTCTGAAGCATTTTTAGTCATCTAAAACTGATTCTCTAACAAAAGAGATATGCTTCCATTTTCCATTGTAAATCAGCTCTTCAGTCGACACTGATTGCACTGGACAGTATATGAATTTGTACATTCGT